ATGTTTCCGGCACCCTGGCGGGTTTCCAGAGCCTTGACAGAGGGAGACCCGCCATTGGCATTAGTCTCACCCTTCGAGGTCCATTCCTTGAGAGCAGCATCAAGATCGAAAGTCTCCGGCGAGTAGGAGAAGATCTTATCACTCAGCAAGTATGCGACTTGCTGGATGAGCGTCTGGGCTGTAACATAGGTCGGGCCATTCAAGGCCGACAGAGCTGGAACTGTTGAACCCATGACTTCTTCTCGACACCGGATATAAGACCGATATCTGTTAAAGATAAAAACAAAGAAGAAGGTGGGGAGAAAGAGAATCTCCCCTCTTCATAGCTTGGTTATAGAGAAAAGCCCCAGGTAACTTGCCCAAAGCGGTTAGTGGCAATTGCGTGCTTGTTATCGGGCGATAAGTTTTTTTCAGCACGGTAGAAAGTGGCGGATCCCGGCCGCCTTCGGAGCATTACTCAGCTGTGCCTGAAGGGGAGTTGTTACACACACAGCAGCTTTTGTTAGCCGCACAGCAAATTATGTAATATCCGCATCACATAATCATTTTTACCCAAGATCGTTACCATACATTACCACAGCAACTGCATTACTTACTACTATAGCAACTACATTCTATCTACTACTACTATAAAGAACTCGCTCTCTGCCAGTTAATCTTCCTTCATTTCATATCTATTATACCCTACAGGAACGAATTGTATGGCCAATTTCTCCACAATTTGAACACTTTGATGGCGCTTTCTTCTTTATGATCCTTTGGTCTGATGTCTTGTTGTTTCGATCTGATATGTTGTCTTGGTTTAATCTTATTAGTGGCAGTGGTAATAGAGGATCTAGTATTGGCAGATACTCCGATAACTCATTACTAAGGCCAAGCCTCCAAAATTGATGGATATCGCTTAGTGGAATTGGCTGATATGTTGATATTAAACTAGCGATTCGGTGGGCATATGGAAGGCCTATTGTCCTAGTGAATATATTAGTACAGTTAGCTAAAGGGGCTTCGGGAGTAGCTCTCTTAGCTATAGAAGCTTGCTTATAGATCTGGCGAAGTGAATATCGTGATGTTCTCTTTACAATATTCGAATAGAGAAAGTGGGAGCAGAAATTTGGCGTTTTAATCTGATCTTCTACAAGATCAGATAAAAGGGTATAGTGCTGAGCTTCTAAGGCATTATTAATTCGTTCAAAAACAAAGAGTATATCACCTATTGATGCCCCTATATGCTTTTTTAAAATTGCATGAGAGCCTTCCACTCGTGAGGTTGCCCAATTACTAAGATGAAGGTATTGCCCTATCCAAGCCCTAATAAACATCTCTTTATAGGTTAGCCAAGTTTGTTTCACATATCGAAGAGCAGCCGGAGTAAGACTAAATTTAGTCTCAAACTTAGCTAGTTGATCGTTATATTCAACTATAGTAGATGAATTGATAAGCTCTTTCTAAGATTGTATAAAGGCCTCAAATTCCTCATTTAAAGAGAAATATTGCTTTATCTTTACAAGCACATTCTTATTAATATGCCAAATATATAGTAAATGTGGGCTTTTTGGACAAATAGACTTTATTGCGCCTACTAAAGCAAGGTCTCTGTCAGTACAAAGGACGGGGGGAAGGGTAAGGGGTCAAGCTATGAAAAAAAGGTCTGTAGAGTCCATTTATAGCTTTCTTCCTGCTCATTTTGCATAAAGCAGAAAGCAATACTATAGGATGAATTCGATGGTGAGAGACCAATAATATATAAAAGAGGCATCTTATATCGATTCGTCTTATAGGTGCAGTCTAATAAAAAGACCCTATTATATTGATTAGCATATATAATTGATTTAGGGTGAGCAAATATAAAGAAAAGGATATGGCCTTCAGTATCCTGCTTAAATGCATATCTCCAACCATCATTTTGAAGTGTCTCTCTTAGAAATTCAAGCGGTGTAGAATTCCCGAGTTTCTTTCGTCTTGATTCTATTCGAATATTGTAGATATCTCTTGGTTTAATTAAGATCTTAGGATCTTTTCGCATTACACCAAGGATTTGCTGTGGCTTTGATCCGACATCAGAAAGATACTGGATAGTTTGGTTTTGATCTTCGGTAAACTGTCGACGTCGTGCTATAGGATGACCAATCATATTATCATCAGCTTCATGGTTATGAATAGGGTTTCTAACCTGGATTTCCCACTGATCATTCCTAAGCTTCTTCGCATAGAGACGAAAAGGACAGCCAATTCGTTTTGTACTAGTTTTCCGGCGCTTCGCCCTATCTGGGGCATTAATCTGATCGTGATAGTAACCACCTCTATCGCAACCAAGAGTGATATTTCTATCTCTACTTGATGAGACGGTAGTTATAGCATAGCCATAAGCAAGGGCATGCTGTTGGATAGAAGTAAGTAGCTGCTCTTTAGTCTCGAAGACTTGCTCAGTTGGTGGCTCCATGATTGGATGAAGGACAATAGATATGAAATGAAGGAAGATTAACTGGCAGAGAGCGAGTTCTTTATAGTAGTAGTAGATAGAATGTAGTTGCTATAGTAGTAAGTAATGCAGTTGCTGTGGTAATGTATGGTAACGATCTTGGGTAAAAATGATTATGTGATGCGGATATTACATAATTTGCTGTGCGGCTAACAAAAGCTGCTGTGTGTGTAACAACTCCCTGCCTGAAGCCCGAGATTATGTCATAAAATTACGATGCCTTAGGCATTAAAGTAGCCACGTGATATTCACGGGTTGTGCATGCTTGTGCACGGCATGGGTCTGCATAAACCACCACACCGAGCCTCGGTCGCCCACCTTACCCCAGAATGCGGAGAACCCATTCCATCCCCTCATAAAATATTGCTCCTGATACATAAACACCCATATAGTCCAATGATTATACCCAAATCCTTTTTCTGGTAATATATCTTTATCGAGTCTTCCACCATGGCGTACAACTCACCAAATCCCATCCCATTCTCAGAGCCGCCTTACCTTCGTGGCCTCCCTTCTCCCTATATTACGCCTGCCCACCGCCGCTTCCAACAAGCATGTCGTAAATTTATGACAGAGAACTTGATTCAGCATGCGTTGGAGTGGGAGCGTGAGGGAACAGTCCCCGAGCATGTTTTCCACACATTCTGTAAGCATAATATGTTGTTGCCCAACATGCCGGCCCCATTACCTGTGGATTGGCTGAAGCGCCTGGAAATCAACGATATTCTGGGAGTCAAGGTTGAAGATTGGGACTACATCTACACCGGAATTTACTGTGATGAGGTATGCTATGAAAATTATCTGACAATGCTTTATAATTGCAGGATAATTGACCGATGGTTTGCAAATAGATGGCCCGTTCTGGTCTCAGTGGCCCCGGTGGCTCTCTGAACGCCGGGTTCGCTTTTGGAATTGCACCAATCTATAAATTTGGTAGCACTGAATTGCAAGAGCGGTTCTTGCCCGAATTGCTCACAGGTAAGAAGCGAGGCTGTATTGCCATCACGGAGCCTGAGGCCGGTAGTGATGTCGCGAATATCACCACAACTGCTGTCAAGAGCGCCGATGGTCAGCACTACATCCTGAACGGATCCAAGAAATGGTAAGCGGCAACTCTGTAGTAATAATAAAGCTGTGAGCTGACACCAATAACCAGGATCACGAATGGTATCTGGTCGGACTATGCCACCATGGCCGTGCGTACCGGTGGACCAGGAGCCGCGGGCCTTTCGGTTTTAGTTGTGCCTCTGAAGGGCCACCCCGGTGTCTCAATGCGCCGACTCAAAGTCTCGGGTCAAATCACAGGCGGGACCACATACATTGAGCTCGACGACGTTAAGGTTCATGTATCAAACATCATTGGTAAAGAAGGCGACGGCATGCGTATCATCATGACCAACTTCAATCATGAGCGACTTGTTATTGCCGTTGGAGTCACACGCCAGGCTCGTGTGGCCCTTTCTGCCGCTTTCTCGTACTGTCTCAAGCGTGAGGCTTTCGGAAAGACACTCATGGACCAACCCGTAGTCCGCCACCGTCTAGCTAAGGCAGGTGCTGAGCTTGAATCTATGTGGGCGTGGGTCGAGCAGATATTGTACCAATTGGTCCATCTCAGCAAAGAGGAAAGTGATCGTCAACTTGGTGGCTTGACGGCGTTGGCTAAGGCAAAGTCTGCTATGGTTTTGAACGAGTGCGCCCAAACAGCCGTGTTGTTGTTTGGAGGAAGTGGATTTACCAAATCCGGTCAGGGTGAATTAGTCGAAGGTATGTTCGCCAGATTATTAGTATGTGTTTGAAACAAGCTAACCAAGTCTCTAGCCATTCTTCGCGATGTTCCTGGTGCCCGTATTCCGGGTGGCTCAGAAGACGTACTGCTCGATCTGTCTGTGCGTCAATTGGTCAAGCTCTATCAGGCTGAAGAGAAGAAGCTCTCACAGAGCGCCAAAATTTGATCGGGTTATAAACAAAATTTTGGACCTCGGGATCTTGGAGTATCACCTACCCGGGCTTTTCGGCCAATGTACTCGAACTTCCATTTATGTCAATAAACAGTACAATATTATCTTCTATCAAGGTTTCTTTTAACACAACCGAGCAAGATAAAACCAAATTTACAAAGGCCAAGCATTCTTATGGCTTGTAGACTCTCCACTAGTCCTACTCTATCCCTCTCCGAAGTGGCTCCAACTACCACATCTGCTAGCGCGTCTGAAGCAGAGTCGAAATTCGCACTAGTCTCGACCTGCCCAAATACGTGAAATCATGGAGAATTATATGACACTCGCATGAGTCTGAGATAAACTATAGTCATAAAAGCTTGTGTGCTATCACGGCCGTTGTATTTGAAAGCTATATTGTCTTCTTCATTCATTTTGAGCAATTATGCCATAATCTCATAGCAACTGGCAAACACTTTCCTTCCCCGCAAAATGAGAATTGGTCTCTGAGGAAGTCATGTAAATTGGACTTTCATACCCGTGCACAATTCCTCGGGCGTAGTACCCATGTGGGCCGGTTCAGTTCAAACCTGGCGAGGAATCCTTGGGCGCAGTTTTCCCATAAAGTTGGCGTTTTGTGTGGATTTTCTTGGAGGTTGTGTTCTCGTGGGCATCGTGGGCTTTGTCGACTTCTTGTATTTTGTGACTTTTCTCGTGGAACCGCTATCTTTCAAGGCCCGGTATGACTTCTTTGGGGGAGCTTTCCTTGGGGCCATTTCCCTCTTGCTCATCAAATTTCTCAGCGCTGGGTATTTCCTTGCCGCAGGCAAGTCCAGTGGACATTTTCCATCGATGATTTGATCTGCATAAGCCCCGCGCTCCAAGAGTAGCTCTATCAAGATAGTATTGATCAAATATTGCTTTGCGTCTTTCTTCTGGTCCCGCAACGGTGTTCTCAAAAGCCTCGAAATAATTTTGTCCTCATTTCTACCACAGTAACGAGTGCTCGACCCTGGTTTGAAGACAAGATCGAAGATGCCCGGATTCTCAAATTTGGCACCTAGTGGTGTCTCTCGACGCATGTTCCGTATGTTAACATCGGCACCAGACGTCAAGAGCAATCCCACAAACTCCTTTTGGGATTTTATAGCTCCTGAGAATGCGTTACCGCCATAGGCTCCATGAAGGGGGGTGTCTCCTTCCCAATTTTGTGCGTTTAAATCAGCACCAAAATCGAGACACAGGCGGAACAATTTCTCTATCGATTCCCATCGCCTCATAGGAATCATGTGAAGGCAAGTAGACAAGGAACCGGATTTGCAAAGTAGATCTGCCCCGTGAGCCAGCAGCAACTCGATCACAGAGAGAAGCTCATCCTCTCCCTTGTATTTCCACATATCAGCCCATATCGGCGGACCTGATTCACATGATTTACGTGGTTGGTACGCATACCCACGTTCCAGAGCACATCCTAGAGGAGTAACACCGCGTACTGCGTCCCCAACTTCTACATGGGCGCCATTCTGGAGGAGAAAACTGGTCATGTTATAGTCTCCTAAAGTCGCAGCATATCCCAGGGCGGAAATTTCCGTTCCGAGATTGACTTGAGCTCCATTGCGCAGAAGGAGTTCCACAATATTCGTACGACCATACCCAACGGCAAGAAGTAAAGGTGTGTTAATCAAGGTGTGGCAGTGGTCCACTGGTATATTCAAGTCCAGGTTGTTGCGCGATATTAGGTGCTGAATCCCCCGCTCAAATCCCCCTTTTAACAGGCATCGCAGTGCCCAATTATAAGTGTTTCTGTCTTGTTTATAAAGGACATAAATCACTCTGTCATGAATCATACGATTGAATCGCAGAAGTGATGATATATCTTTGTTGGATGGCAGATATGAAGCAACAAGACAGATTAATTCGAAGGGCAAGGAGTCAAGAGACATCTTGAAATGAAATTGGAACCCTGTCCACACTTGACACGAGGAATAATCTACAGTACATAAATAAGTCGAGGAGTGGGATGTAGTGGTCATTAATTCAATGAATCCTTGTTTAGCTCTAAAGTTTCTAGAGATGACGAGCCTACTATGACTGAATGAAGTACTCGTACACACTTTACCATTTATTAACCGTTAGTTGATATCTGCTCAACGCGTTTATTGCCCAGTAATTTTTGAACAGCAATTTCTACTCCTTTAGTAGACGTCTTAAAGCATAGCATCGCTACGCTTGATCATTTTCTTCTGGCATTGACGTGACCGTCAATCATACATACAAATCTAACCTTCACATCAACCTTGGGATGGACAACTAGAGGAACCTTGAATCTTCATGGAACATCCCACTTTGAAATAGCAATTATTCCTCTCTAGAGAGAATATATTGCACACATTGGAAAGTGTCAAGTTCAGACGTTTCATGACGAAAATACGGTAGAGCATGGCTACCTATAAGAATATGAAGATAGTCTCCCGTGCGATTTAAATAGATTATTTAAATTAGCATTCAGTTAAAAAGGTTCTCCGTCATTTTTGGGACTTGGAATGTATGACTATATATATCCCATCATGACAACAACATGGGTGCTTTCGATGATACTTTGCTCTCTTACTTCAGAAGCATGGAACACTGAGAACATGAGTAAGTCGGGGCTCTCGATAAGTTAATTCTCAAAATAAACCGCTCGTCTGAGTTGATACGTGTAATTTAATGATACATAAAGTGATATCTCCAAACTTCTCAATATTCCCAAATACTTAAGTAGAAAACCAGCTGATCAATAGGCCAAAACAAAACTGCATCATGTTTCCCCCTTTTAGATAACCACGGCTGTAGAGAAGAAAACAGTGTAGCACCGGGTTGGTCAAGAGGACACTGGCCAGAGTCATCAGCGTAGTCTGGACAGACTCCGTATTCAAGAAGCAACTCAATCATAGCATTCATCTCACTGAAGTCATGTAGATGTATCAATTCACACACATCCATATCTTCCAAGTAGTACTGAAGCGCGTTGGTGCTTGGGTCAAACCAGCTGGTTAGCCCATCCTTTATGAGGTAAGTTAGGAGCTGAGCTCCTTCTTTGCCTTGGCATTGGACTTTGGCGCCCGCATCAAGGAGAAGCTTCGCCAGGTTTATGTTCCATGGGAACAACATTGCATGCTCCAATGGCGTTTTCGATTCGCGGTCTCTCAAGAGGACGTCAGCTCCTCGGTTTAGGAGCGATTTGAGGAATTCTTCTTTTGTCGTATCATCTTTGAATAGACGTGTGATAACGAGATGCAGGAAAGTCCCCTCTTCACACCACAAAAAGTCCACGTCTACTCCGTATTCAAGGATTAATTCAAGATCCTCGAGGTTTTCGCGATATATAGCGTTTTCAAGCGTTCCTGTGAGCTCTTCGGGTTTAACTTTAGCTCCGTAAGCTATAAGCAATTGCGCAAAGGCATTACATTGTGCGGCGTCGCGGAATTCGCCCTCGAAAGCAAAAGAAATGACCGACAACCCCGCCTCATCCTTCGCGTGCACGTCGGCGCCAAGAGATAGGAGGAGCTCTATGACACCGTCATCAAGAGACCCGTAATGTTCTACTTCATAATGAAGAAGAGAAACTTCTTTCAAATTGGCGCCATATAAATGCAGCACCTCCACCACAGCCCGGAAATCGTAGTTGGGGGCTACTTCGGGTACTTTGAATGAGTTGTACTCCCAAGCCCCGCGACGTCCAGCCTTCACCCAAGCTAGTAAGCCTCCGATTTCTATAGCACGAGACAAAGTGATTTCATCTCTTATCTTTGCGCCTTTTTGAAGAAGTAACTGGGTCATAACCCCATTCCCCCGTCCTACGGCCACATCCAAGGGAGTGAGGCCGTGGCCGGTGAGGTTCGCATTTGCATCGGCTCCATGTTTCAAAAGCAGATCTGCGATAAACAAGTGGTCATTCTCGACAGCCAAGAGTAGAGCTGAAATTGGCTCCCATCTTATCATCCCGCCCTTGTCTTTCTCGTACAACCACAAGCGTTTGTTCACATCTGCTTTCCAGGATAATAAGTGATTCATCCCTTGTATAGCACCATTAACTGCACACCAAAACAAGGCATGTCCCCGTGGATCTGTATCAAGATTTCGTTTATAAAGGTCACGAAGTAGGAGGTCATGAAGAAATTTGTTGGTGCATATCAAGTCAAGCACATCTTCATATGGTAGCTCTGCCGCTATCATTTTTATTATTTCGACAGGCAACAAAAGGAGGACCATTTTGAAGGTCAGCGGTCACAGAGCCAGCCTTGGAGCGATGTGAGGATGACAAACAAAACACAGTTTGGGAGTTTTCCTACATACCACGACCTGTCCTGCCTATCTCCACCGCCCACATATATGTATCATGCGAAACATCTCTACATATATATGTAGCTACATATAGTTATATCAGTATGACCTTCTCCTGATGACATCTGATGTTTTAAAAGATTGGATTGCCAGTAATTATATAGTACATACTATTAGCCATGTTCCTCCTGGAAGACTGTTTGATAGCCAGTGTCGCGCTTACCCAATGTAGTTTAGCTCCACCTCGGGATGACGAAAGGCACTGCGCCTAGATGGATTCCTCCTCCTACTGCGCTCCCCTTTTGATATCTTATGCTGTACAAACACAACGGACATCTACTCTAATTACAACTTCATATCCACAAACATGGTTAATGTCGCATTGATCGGTGGTACGGGTATGGTGGTAAGTGCCCCATCCTGCAAGCAAAGCTCCTCGCTCTACTCATCTCGAATCTTCCCAAACGAACATACCTAGGCTAGAACTTGAGCTAAGTCGCATAACCAATAGGGCTCCCATATCCTCACCAGCCTTATTTCCAATCCCGCTGTGACCCGCGTGGACACCATCTCCCGCCGCACCCCGCCAGCCACGAGCGGCACGCCCCCAGCCAAACTCACCAACTTGGTCTCTGGCGATACCGCTACCTGGGCAAGCCAGCTCTCCTCCCTCACCCCGACCCCCAGCATATTCTTTTCCGCCTTCGGAACCACCAAGGCAGCCGCAGGCGGGTTCGATAACCAATACAAAATCGAGCATGGGCTGAACGTCGAGCTGGCCAAGGCCGCGCGGGAAGCTGGCACTAAGGTCTATGTGCTGATCTCCTCTTCTGGCGCCAACAAGGATTCCAACATTGCCTACTCCCGCATGAAGGGCGAAATTGAGGAGGATATCAAGAAGCTTGGCTTTGAGCACATGGTCATCCTGCGCCCTGGGTTGATTGCTGGTACTCGTGAGGAAAGCCGGCCGCTCGAGGCTGGGATTCGGTGCCTTGCGAACTGGGCTGGCAAGCTGCACTCCGGTCTGAAAGATGGATGGGCTCAGGATGCAGATGTTATTGGCAAAGCTGCTGTCAATGCTGGTCTCAAGGCGCTCGAAGGTGATGTTCCTGAGGGCAGCGAGAAAGTTTGGACCTTGTTTGGCAGTGATATCATCAAATATGGGAAGGAAACTTCGTCTTGAACGCCTCGGTGCGTTGGGATGAGCTATATCTGTATGTAAGTACATACATGTGTAATTCTTTTGGTTTGGGATTTATGACGTTACGCGGCTATGGACAAAATTACTTGATAGCATTGATCGAATCTCAATATGACATGTATTTTGGAAATGCTGAACTCCCTACATAACATGATCATTTATCGATCGCGATACTATAAACAAAGAAAGCATTCAATCCCGGTGCGAAACATGAGTCCCATCCTCCTTCACATGAATACTACGGCTCTTCTTTGGCACCCCACGAGAGCTGGAAGCTTCGCGATCCCGATTCCGATCAGGCCCGTCCTCAGCCTGGCTCCTCCAAGCGCTGGCATCCCTATTCGCCGGGCTCATATTTAGAGGACTCTCCTTCTTGCCGTCTTGCCTGCTTTCCTCTTCAGTGGCCGCGAGCTCGCTCTCGGGTGCTGTGTTTGTCGGGTCGAATGCAGAGGGGTGCTTGGCGACTTCGCCGTCCGTACCGGATTTGGCAGTCTCTGAGCGCTCCGGGTTCAAGGTTTCACGGTCGAGCGAGCCCTGGCCCTCTTCGATCTGGTGGAGTGGGGTTGTGCTGAAAGGGGTTCTTGTTGCTGTTGGCGTGGCGAGGGATTGGGTAGTGGTTTTTGAGACCTGGCTTCGAGTGGCTCGGGTGGCTTGCTGCCCGGCTGAGATGATGGTTTTCCACATTCTGGGAGATGTGAATATGATATCTGGAGATGATTTTAGGTGTGGATTGGAGGGGTTCGTATAGATATCTCGTTGAGGATGGGCTTGAGTATCGAGATTGTAGGATGCAATGAATTGGATAAAAGCAATTTGTTAGATAAATGAATTGCTCGTTCCAAGTTTGTTACTATCAGGGAAAATCCATTACAAGAAGTCTGTCATTCTTCTCTGTGTTCCAAGTTCTCTAGACCTTAGGATCATATTGACGTCACTTGGCCAGAAACAGTCAGGCTAACCTAATCGGGTAATGAGCTTGCCCTAAGTGGCTCCATACAAATGGAATCAAAGGGCCCTTGAGAGTTCTAGTTACTAATTGCGTTGATTTGATATATTATTTCACCGGAATCTACGTCGGGGTCCGCAGGATATCTGCCACGTCCATAATGTTCCTATCATTTGTAGCTAAAGACAAGGGCTTCATGTGGAAGCAGGTGTCAAGCAGTTTCTCAGCAAATTGACTCAGAATTGGGGAAAGAAACGAAAGCTTCGTTAACCGAGAGAATCCCTAGCTATGTTGCTTCTGTCTGACCTGGAACCTTCTTGGGGCCCTATTATCACGGCTTCTAGTTCCAATGAACCAAGGAGGGGCCAATCACTGTAGCGATGGAGTCCATTATGTGACTTACGGTCGAGGAAGTGGTAACAAATATCGTACACAATATTAAACCCGCCATGAAAACTCCGTCCTCCCCCACGAACGTACTACTCGTCGACTGTCACGCCATGTAGCTCCAGGTCATATTCTGACGACTAGCGGGCCACCAGCCGGTCAGAAAATGTCGTCAAATGATGCATGGGAAGGCGACGTTGCTCGTTTCCGACGTCCCCGTAATAGACAGAGGCGCCGCGTAGAGGGGGTTCGAGCGTGCGCCGCGGACGTACTGGCTCGAGAGTGAAGCGTGCCCAGACTCGCCAGGGTGTTACAAGGTTGGGACAAATATCATTGCTGATTCATCAGTCTCGTATGTCCACCAACTTCATTGCGAAGTTCTTCGACATATTCTCAATCGTAACATAGTAGCAACGAAATATTTCGTTGCTTGCAAAGACGAGCTGGCAAGGGTCAGTATGATCATCACCTGTAGTTCTTCCCTTCGGAGATAGAGTAGGAGCGCGATAGGAATGAAGGGGAGCCGGATGTTAGACCTTGTTGGAGTTAGAGGACGATTTGCTTGATCAAATAAGGAAGGTTGGTTGGTCAGTCAACAGACTCCGAGAAGGTGAGGAAAACAAAAGGAAAAGCGGGCTCAAACTTTAAATAAATGATATTGAGATATGAACTATGAGCATATATGCATTTCCCTATATTAATATCGCACCAACGCCCTCGAGGTTTTGGGGCGGCCTGGCTCAAATATAATCTTAGGGTAAGCCCATTAAACCTCAAATAGACAACCTAAGGTACCCTTAGCCAATTAGCAATGAATTACGGGGTAGAATGGCTTCTTAGGCATTACATCCCAGATAAGTTGTGCTAAATGATGCCAGAAGAAAACGAAAAAAAAAAGAGACTCCCTAGAACGTGATTTGGTGCTGTGCTCACGATGTGTACCGCAGGTGGAGCATCTGGACATGGGAGGAACGTCAAGACAACTAGGAACACGCAAATGCGAGGGCCCACTCAGAGAGAGTACGATCTACCAATGAGAGGTAGGCGTAGGCCTTACCCAGCGCAAGTGCTGATGAGATGCACATGCCTCTTTGGTGCAGGACGGGTGGGGAAGGTCTCGTTAGTTGCATACAAGTGACATCCCGGCTGACGGTTACCATTGGACGATTGGGCCGGCTGCAGGTGAGGATAAGTCGGCCGATCGACCAATCCCCGTACACTTGAAAAAATGTAGGCAGTGGGCTTTTTGCTGTCCAACACCGAAGGTAGCGTTACCCTCAACGATTTGTCGCCTGTCAAAGGCAGGCGTGTGTAAGGTGCGGGAGCCTCCGTTCACTTTCAGATCACGGGATCAGAAGAGCCCGGCGCTGTGGGAGCCTGTATGCGGGTCCTAGAATTCAATTTTAACGTTGAGGCACGGGCTTCCCGGGTTGATAACACTCAAAATTGGCCTGCGGTAGCTCTAACCAGATCAAAAACGTTCTAGTATTTCACCCGGCAACTTCGCTTGTTGGGCAGAAACGACAACCATGCTTTTCCCAACCCATCGGCCTGATCCTTGCGAGAAGAAACATTGGTACACTAGGGATGGGCGAGGGTACTTCGGTGGTAAGACGGAACGGGAGGCAAAAAAGCAGGGGGGCTTCAGAAGTTGATTCGAGAGCTTTTCGGGGCTGGATGCAACCAACTCGCCGCAGCGAAGGATAGATCCACCGAGTGTGACGGCCATTTTGAGGCTGTGAGCAATAATCAGGGATGCCAGTTGCCAACTCAACATCTTGTCATGGATCATCTTCCTAGATCCAATTCTGGGCGTGATTGAGCGGCATTCACCGACGATCGCCTGTCGTATTCGTGCATTGCCCAGAACAATCGGCCAAAACGGCAAGCACAGAAGTCTGCAGGAGTTTCCATTCCATATTGGCAATCAGTCATATTTCGTCATTGTCAATAACGTGAATGGCATCTGGGTCCTCGGTGGAGCTTGCATACAATCCCTAAACGGCGATCCACGGCCCTCGACCCGGCCCTTGCTACTAGGAATTGATGCAGAAAGCCAGAAACAACGTGCCACGTCAGAGTCTCTGAGCTTTGGTGCAGCTGCATATGGTTCAGCAATATGTGGAATGTGTCACGGTTCGTGTCTGCGGCGAGCGCCGTACATCAATCCGATCCTATCATTTCCGCCAAAAGGTGCAAGTAGATGATGATGAACACACACATGAGCGGGGGCAAATGCAGGATCCCTCTTTGCAGGAGTGAGAGATCAGCTGAACGAAAATGGATCTATCTGGCCTGCATCCCTAACTTTTGGGGTGTGGTACAAGAATTTTCAATTGCGTGGTCCGTGTCCTTGGACACGAGTGCCAATGATAGAGCCTCAGAGACTCTAGCCTTGCCACTTGAGTGAGGGCTATTGGCTGAAAGCCACGGACCGGAAAGGTGCGGCAGGGGTGGAAAGACGGCCGAGTCTGAATTTTGATAGACTGGCGAGTAAGGCTCGGTAGGAATAACACAAGACGACAGGGGCTAATGGTTGCAACCACATGCTGAGACCCCAATATGGATGTCCATTATTGCCCAAATGCAGGAGACGTAAGAGTCATGAAGAGGAGCGAAGGCAATAACTCGGGATGTGCATGCGTCTGCAATCACACAGACAGCAATATCGGATAGATACTTCTGTGGATAAAACATGGCGTTCGGTCAGAACCCCGTGTCAGTGCTCATGGTAGATGAGGAATTGAGCCAATCAATAATTGCAAATCGCATCAAGATAGAACAACCCATTGTGGTGGAGTCACAAGGGGCGTGCATAGTCCCATCACATTCGCGAAGGCAGTAGCTTTCTCTTGCATAGAGACAGGGTTATCCCTGGGCATGAAAGCCTGATTATTGCATCAATACGACAGCTGGCAAGTACCGGGACTGACTCGGCCATGCAGAATCAGCCATGCAAAACGCAAGAGAATCACAGGAGTGCGAGTCCATGCGAACAGCATCCACATGAAAGCGGGGAGTGGCAGATGGCGACGGCATAATTGCAGTAGTCGAATCTGGAAATTAGAGGATTGCAGCCATGGATTGAGGGATTTTCGGCCCATCGTACATCATCACCATGAGGAGGGAATCGCCACGGCTGAGGGTTGCATGCATCCATGAAGCAACCGGTTGTTCATAGTGGCTCCATTCGAGATACCATGGCCATCATACCGTCTCCACTGCTTGGAGAACTGCTCACAGCCAACCGGATCAACCGTCAGGCAGGTGCGATGTGAAATCCACGGACTGGAACCACGGATGATAAGCCATCGGGCACTGACAAACGTCGATCAACAGTGGGACGAGGCAAACAAGGGAGAATAAAGCCGTGGCATAGAAACTTCGTCCGAAACATAAATAAACCTGTCAACGCCCCCAGGATGCTGTGAAGTTCTCTATCATCCATCGGTTTCATAATTCGAGTCTGAAATCTTCAAGCCAGGCCAATAGATCTTCTTCATAGAAAGGATTCATTCGAAATTTGTTTCAACTTTGTTGAGCTTTCCAGGTCCTTTGAAAATTCAGACGAAGGCCGGCCTATCAAATTCGACAAGCGCGGGTGTACTGCCAGGTGCAACCAATAGCAACCCGGTATTCAAGCTGAAACACAGACGGAGAGCCGTGAGCAAGTGGGTTATGTCGTACTTGCAGATTGAGCAGCACTGACAGATCTAATAGGCATGTGCTTTTACAACCAAAAGAGATTTGCGTGTGGAGACTGGAGCTGGACCACCTTTGCTCACCGATGCAACTATGAATATCGCACCGGCGAGACATGCGGTATGAGACTCGTCAACACGACCGAGAATGAGAAGACCAACTGTCGTCTCTGCGAAAAAATCGAAACCAAGTATCGCCGGCGAAGTGCCGAAGTCGACCGTTTGGACCGGTGGAAGCGAGAGGGTGCCACACTTGTGGCCTCAATGGATCGGTCTAACAAACTCATTATGGACTTGGAGAAAGAGATCCGCTCCCTGCAGCGGGAGCGGGACGACCGAAGGAGCACTCTCCTAAGATAGGATTGGCTTGGATTTGTAAAACCGGTGTTCCTTTGGCATTTGCTATTTTTTTCTCTTTTTTTTTGTTGGATATGTGAACAGTAATTGTGTTGACTTGTTTCGGGTCCTTCGTGGCCAATTGTCCTGTCTTTTTTTTTGTTACCTGTCACTGTTTCTTTAGGGGGATTTGCAGCGAGTTTCATGTTTCACCATTTGTCCGTGACATCAAGTCCGAATCGAGTTTCTGCAAGGTGATGGGAGAACCATATCGCCGCTTGAAAAGATTGATGAGAAATTTAATTGGTTCAGACTCCATATTGATTTCTGTTCATAGGCTGTTAAGCTCCCAAAAAAAATGTCAATAGGGACTAGCCATGTCATAAGCGCCCTGTTCTCCTGGGTGAGCGGTTCGCTGAGACAGATCGAGTCTCACAGGACAAGGAGTGGCACCTGCTGTAACCAGACAAAAAAGCCATTGAGGCCTGACGAATATCAAATGGCCATTCAGCATCGAGATAATCCTTCAAACGAAAGCAGTGGTGTCTGGTGTCAGAGCGAGGGCACATAGTGTGGAACAAAATGCCCCTCATCACACATCCCCGCACGTGATGATCCCATGCTTAGATAACCTAATAAGATGAGCCTCTCACAAAGAAGATGGATCTTTAGCAGCGTTCTAGGGAAAAGTTGGAGGAAATTGGGAGCAGTCCTGCTAGATGGTAGTGTTGTGAGGGGAAGAATCCAGGGCTAGGTGGCCTAACGTGGGTTCCACTTCCCTTGCTCTATACCCCCAAGGCCGTGGACAACTCCAACATTGCAAATCTTCAACCCACCTCAAAAACGTTGGTTTTGAGCAATCTGGGTAAAATAACGACAGGTTTGGTAGGTGCTAGTGAGATTGACAAGAGAAATAAAAAAGTGACGAGGTACGAACCGAAGGCCACAGAACGGCCAGCTGGGAACTATATATCATGGCACTATAATCGGAGAATTTAGTTGTGCTGGCTAGAGCCTGCATGCCCCTAAGCAACACCCATGTCTCTTCAGCCTACGTGTACCTATCTGCTTCAACATCTCCAGGGTAAACAGCGTCAAATTGGAGTGAAGAACTGAAGGAGAGCGCTGAGACTGGGCCGATGTGCATGCCACGTCACAAGAGAACAACACCAGATGCAGCCATAAACAAAAGCACGCGCGACAGATAAAAGAACAATGTTTTGTTTGGACATGAGGTGATGCTAGGATATTGCAACCGGATGATTATGGTCAAAGTATTGGATTCGAGTATCTGAAACGGAAAAAGAACAAGAGAGGATTTAATCTATTTTATGTCACCAGCCTCGGGCTCATCATCAACCTTGGCCAGCCCTTGTTCCCGGAGAAGGGAATCAATCTCATCCGCAGTCCATAGGTGGTGGTAGATCTTGCCATCCTTGGTCTTGCCCACTGTTGCGAACTCGACTGCGAAAGGTAGAAATGTTAGCAGGATGAAACATAATGCAAAAACGGTACCCGAGAAACTCACTCTTCTCACTGCTCAGCTTTGTGGAATCCATAGTCTTGCTCAGTACCTTGACGGCCATAGCACAAGCCTCCTTCAGATCGCAGTCCTCCTTGTAATCTTGCTTGAGGAGACTCTGCGCGCTTGCGTTGTTTGCGCCAACGCTCGTCGCTTTCCAGCCTCCATAATTACCACTGGGGTTGCTCTGGTACAACTGGAACTGACGGAGGTGGTCGTACCCGGCGTAGATGAAGGAGACACCAAATGGGCGGAGACCTCCGTGTTGGGTATATCCTTGCTTCAGATCACACAGTCGACGGACAAGCTGTTCACATGGAATGTCTTCATTGTACGTGAGGAGGTAGCGTTGGGCGTTCTGGCGAGCATAGTTGATCAGAATGTTGGCATCGGCGTTCATACCCGCAACGGCGCAGATCATGTTACTGAAAAATATTAGCTACTTATCCCAATACCAAACACAGTAAATCTGGCTATTTGATTCGAGATAACAGGGGGTTTGGCGTACTCGTTGATTGTGTAGAGCTTCTCAGCAGAGGTATCCTGCTCCAGCAGCTTGCTGGTCACCTTCCTCTCAGCAGCGAGGACAATTCCATCCTTGGCTAAGATACCAAGGGCTGTGCCGGCGTGAGAAATAGCCTCAAGCGCATATTCAACCTGGTAGAGTCGACCCTCTGGGGAGAAGATGGTGGTCTTTCCAACAGCGTCATAGGTTAGCTGGAGCTGCACAAAAGGAATGACGGTGTGCACGAACCCTCGAATCGTATCTCCGAGACATCGTGAATGAATAAATAAAAGCAACAAAAACTCAGATATGGGCTAAAGGTAAGGGTTGATTGTGCGAGACAGGTGGTTCGGGATGGTGAAGGTCGGTGGTGAAGACGTAGAAGCTCCAGGCAACTCGCCCTGGCGCGTCCTCTGTCATCCGCCAAGCTCGGACCACTTCACCACACCAAAGCTTCATTGCGACGATTTCACCACTTTGACCCGCAAGGACGGAGTACAAGGCCGATTTACCCATTGCTTTGCGTTTCAATTGATTCATCTCGATCGCCATGCTCAGATCAACATACGCCGCTCCTCCCCCTTTGCCTTCGGGGTGGACACAACATCGAGCCCCCACAGGTTGGTCTTGCGCTGGGTTTGAGTGAAAAGTTTTGGCCGTTCTAACTATTAAGCCAGGTCATCTGTACTACTATAATTCTTCAACAAAGCAATCGACATATACCCGCCCTCAAGAAACGGCTCCTCAGCCCATTCAGGCCGCTCCCGACACTCCAGAAGCAACATACAACCCCGAGACGCTACCTCCGTTTTCTTCGACGCCCTATGGACCGACAGGGTTTGGTTCTGGGCCAGCGCAGTTTGGCCCACCACAAAACACCCGTGGCCGCGGAGGATTCCGCGGTGGGAGAGGTTATCATGATCGTGGACGGAGAGAACCCGAAGATCGACCAAAAGCGAAACATCCTATTCCTGACTGCGCCCCGTGGCTACTAGTAAAGACCAAGCTTGGAAGGAGATTTGTGCACAATCCGGAAACAAACGAAAGTTTTTGGAAATTTCCAGAGCAAGTTTTGAAGGGCGTGATCGAATTTGATCGTCTGGAGCGTGAGAAGAAGGAAAGGAAAGAACGGGGTGAGCCCGAGATGCCGGCCAAAAAGGAATCGCCTACGCCTCAGGATGTTCGTATAGAGCCCCAGCCAACACCGCAAGAAGCGGAACGCGCAGACTATGACTCCGACTATGAAGAGGTCGAGGTTACAGACAGCGAGGGGGAAGAGGGCCAACCGTCAAAGCGTGCACGAGCTGAAAGTGAAGGCGCCAAGGATCAGCCGCTAGAGTTCAATGAAGAAGACATGGCATATCAACTAGCAGCCATGGGTGAAGACTACGGACTGGACCCTGGGGAATATGGCGAGGTCGAGGAAGAAGATTGGGAAGAGGGCGCAGAGGGCCTGCCGCTGACAGAGGCCGATGCTGAGGCCCTCTTCCGCGACTTACTGGATGACTTCCGAATCAACCCATTCACGACGTGGGAAAATGTCATCGAAGAAGGCCGCATCATTGAAGATACCCGATATACCGCACCCTCGAACATGAAGACACGACGAGAGATCTTTTCCAATTGGACCCGGGACCGAATCCAAGATGTGAGAGAGCAGAAAGCGAAGCAGGAGAAGACCGACCCGCGCATTAGATATCTGGCGTTTTTGCAAGAACATGCCACTCCGAAGCTTTACTGGCCGGAATTCAAGCGCAAGTACAGGAAAGAGCCGGAAATGAAGGACTCTCAGCTTGGAGACAAAGAGCGCGAGAAGTTCTACCGGGACCACATCTCGCGTCTCAAGCAACCCGAAAGCACTCGCAAGTCAGACCTGTCAGCCCTGCTCAAATCTGTTCCTTTGGACTTGTTGCATCAGTCATCGAACTTGGAAGCTCTGCCCACCATGATCATCACCGATATTCGTTATATCGGACTCGCGCCAGAGGTTCGAAACCCGTTGATTGAGGCATACATATCTACTCTGCCTCCGGCCCCGGAGGTACAGATGACGGCAGAAGAGCTAGAAGAAGTCGACCGAAAACGAGTTGAACGGGAGAAACGCGAGAGGGCCCTTGCAGATCGGGAGAAGCGGGTGGGGGAAGAGAAGCGGAAACAGCGAGGAGATCTTCTCCGTGGCAAGCATCTCCTCCGAGAAGGCGAGGCCGAGATTGAACAGGCAATGCGCGTCAACAAGGACGCACTAATGAGCTACATGGATGTTGACCAGGCGGTAGATGAGGAACAGAAGCCGAGTCAAGGATAGTTGGCCACTGAATATTACATCACTTTTGTCGAAATAAGGACAGCCGAGTTCATATTGTACATCAAGAGGCAATTTGCTTATACCAATGCCGTTCGGTTTCTAAGGGTATCACTGTAGATGAGGGAAATCATTTCCCTTCACGTAGACGATTCGTCATTTCACCATCGATCCAATCATTTGAATCTCCAATCATCCCAATCCTCGTCGTCATCGTCTTCACTCTCGCTCTCAATCTGCTCCACTGCGCCAGATACCATCGGCCCATCCAGTGTCTGGTCTTCCGCGCGGGCTTTCCGCAGCTCCTCGCGTTTTTGTTTGAGCCTTCTCACCCGCTCCTCCAACTGATCCATCTCATCAAATTCTTCTTCCAAAAGCCGTGCGGCATCCTCTCGCTCCCCTTCCATCTCTGCCTCACGAGTGCGAACTGTCGATGTCTTCGCTCGCTCTTGCTGCGCAGCGAGTTCTGCAGCTGTCACTGGTGCTGCAGATATCGTAGCCTCGGCTGTAACAGCGGCTGGTGCATGCGGCTCATCAGACTGTGCGGCGACCTCGCGTTCAAATGCTGCCCATGCCTCTTCGTCAATAGGCGTGGATGAATCTTCAGGCGGCTGCGTAGTTGATTCTTCTGCAAGATCTGCAGCCGGCTCAACAATCTCCTGTTCGGTGTCGAGTGGAGGTTCTGGGCCGGCGACATCATCCTCGACTTGCTCTGAACCTTCATCCTCTGTGGTTTGCTCGGTGGTTGTTGCGCCAGAGGTAGACTGAAATGTGTCTAGTTCTGCGGCGCGGATCTTCTTTCGCATTACTCCATTTTCGCTGTCAACCTTGCGCTTTTTGGTGACCCGGTTTCCTGTCGTATTTGGTTGAGATGTGCCCTTGCGGGAAGCTAATTCACTGCGGAGTAGCGATCGGACGTCGGCCATATTCTCTAAGTTGTCACAAGTTGGTAGGATGGGAGATACAGGATGTGAAATAAGTTCAGAATCAAACTGGCGGGAATAAAAGAGCCTGTGATGAAGAGTGGGGAATCTGGAGAAGCTCAATCTTAAGATTCACACAAGGGCATTTCGCCGCGAACCTGTGGCTGGTGACAAATAACACGTGATAATGCCCAGGTGAATGACAAAGACGGGAGCCAAGCCACTTATTCATCTCTCTTCTCCTCACATCGCATCGCATCTCTTTTCTATCTTTTAACCATCCTTCTCTGGCGTTATTGCTTTCGCCACTTGATCTTTGAGCAAATACTGCTTCAATCTCAACTCAGAACTTCTAGTGCCATTTTTGACTACAAAGTGCGTGATTTGGGCTCAACTCACTCCACGCGACCCCGCTTAGCGCCAAGTGTCGATTTGACGCGCAGCAAGGGATTGCACAGTCCACCATAACACCACCCGCTTGAGCGCGTTCTTCGCCACCGCGTGTCAGTCCAAGAATATTGTGCAGAGACTAGATCGGTTCTTTTATTCGATCGAGCAGAATTGTGGGCTAGACAGTGACGCTGTTGTGCCCTCTTCTTGTGTATTACATTAGCGCCTTGAGCCCGTAGAGACTTTTGTCAGCCTGGGGTAACACCTGAATTTCGAGCAAGTGAAGAGACCTATTATCCTGTCACGCGCTGTAGTACGCGCCAACACCATTATCATGGCCGGTAAGCTTTCGTACACCATCACTACACACATTGCTATCCGATCACTTGAGAGTGGAAAGGCAACACCAGGTCCGGGTTGCGGACCATTTACCAGAAGACAAGCTAACAGCAAGATTAGACGAACCCCGACGCTCCGGCCGAGCCACCAAAGGCCAACACAAGAACCTCGAACTGCCAGATGATCCCGCGAAAAAAGGCAAAAGCAAAAGCCCGAAAGAAAAGAGCGCGAAGTTGTCCGCCGAACCCACACCCGGTCCCAGTGAACCCGAGGGAGATGAAGAAGAGATCATCCGATGCATCTGCGGTGAATATGAAGAGGAAGAGGATGTGGAGCGCGACATGATCTGCTGTGATCAATGTTCAGCATGGCAACACAATGACTGTATGGGCCTCACATTCATGAAAGGCCAAGAACCAGATCAATACTATTGCGAAAAATGTCGACCAGAGAACCACAGAAACCTCCTGGCAAAGATCAACGCGGGCGAGAAACCCTGGGAAGAGCTTGCTGAGAAACGTCGTCAAGAGGCCGAGGAAAAGAAGTCCAAGCGGAAAAAGGGCAAGAAGGGAGGTCGCAAAGGAAGACCTAGTGAGAGCCGGACAGATGCTAGCACACCAGCTCGCACTGCGCCGTCCACTACACCAGGCCCCAGCGGTTCTCCTGCACCCGCTGTGTCCGCTGTGTCCGCCTCAGTCGAACCAGAGAAGAATGGCCATGCTGTTGATTCTCGGCGATCCAGCACTAACAAGCGCAAACTTGAAGAAACAGTGGAGGCAGAAAATGTAAATACTTCCATTTCACTCAGTCATCACATTCAAAATGCTAACTCGTTTATCTATCAGGGCCCCCAGGTCAAACAGCAACGTGTATCCCCACAGCCTACCCCGGCAGCCATCCCAGAGACAACTGCACCCCAAATCAAGACAGCCACCATCCCCGCCGCACCTGCCATTGGAGCTTTGGAGGAGCTGATGCCTGCTCGCAAGAGTGTGGCCACACACCTCATCAAGTTGTTTGTAGACCAGATTACTGCAGCCCTGAAAGCAGGCTCTTTTACCTTGCGTGCGAACCAATCAGTGGAGGACATGGCACAGCAACTGGCTCTATCCATTGAGGATGCCATGTATGAGAGTATCTGCGGGCGGTCAGGCGAGCCGAATGAATCATATAAGGCGCAATTACGGTCGATCATGTTCAATGTAAAGAAGAATGCTTCTCTGCGAGATCGTCTGCTCATAGGTAGTCTCTCCCCTAAGTCGCTGTCTCAGATGACAACGGGGGAGATGGCCAGCAAAGAACTACAGCAGAAAGACGCTGAGATCAAGCGCGAAGCAGACAGACATCACACCATTGTCCAGGAACAAGGTCCTCGGATTCGACGCACCCATAAAGGAGAAGAGTTGATCGAGGATGAACACCATGGCGCGAACGAGTCCGTTTTCTCTCGTGGACCCCGGCGCGCTGCCGGCGATGACGGCAGTCCAGCCCACAAAAGCCCGACCAGCCCCATGGGGCCCCATCAACCAAAGACAGAGACTGATGGATATGTTCGGGGTCTATCACCTGAAGGTGCTCATCATGACCACGTCTTCCCCGAAGTGGCTCCCGCCATCTATGAGCCACTACCTAGTGGCCGAGTCCAAGCAGATGCTGAGATCGATCAGCTATTACGCGACGATGAACCTTATTCACCTCCTTATTCGCCCAAAGACTTCGACGATGACGGCACTATCTGGCGTGGCAAGGTAACGATGCCTCCAATTGGAGAGTTCTCCTCGTCCGCGAAGCATGTGGGAGGCGCGGACTTAAGTGGCCGAATCCCATGGAGCCAGCTGGCGCCCTCCACGTTGGTTATTGATGGCCGTATCGATGTCAGACGGGCAACCGATTATCTATGCGGCCTTCAATTCAGCAAGTCTACCGATGTGTCTGTGATAGCAATCAGCAGTCCTGATCAGCCTGCGGATCGAGCAGGCTTCGACAAGTTGTTTGACTACTTCCATAGTCGTGGGCGTTATGGCGTCATTGGAAAGCACCCGCTGTCCGCCGTCAAAGACACCTATATTGTCCCAATGGAGATTGGCACCACGACGATGCCTGAGTTCATTGAGCTGCTGGAAAACATCTCACTGGAGGGCCCCATTACTCAGCGCATGCTTCTTACTATTTTCGTCGTTAAGACTGGGGAGTCCAACCCTTCATCTGTCCAGCCGCCATCCCACCAGGCTAGCCAGGAGCCACCTGTCTCTGCGAGCCCCACAGTTGCAGCAACTCCCCAACAGCCTCAGTTCAGCGCTGGAATTGCACCAACTCCCCCTCTCACTTCGGTGGATTCAACTCGAACCCCGCTGCGTACGGCCAGCAGGCCCCTGTACAGCAAGCCCAGGTCACTCCTCAACACCAGCCTGCTCTGACCGGCCTCCCCGCCGCGGTGCAAGTCCTCGGCCCGCAAGTTGATGCTCCCGCCATCCAGCAACTTCTCAAGACTGCACCTAACGTGGACATCGCGCAGCTGAGTGTCGTTCGCGACATTCTGGCCCGCCAACCTGCCGCCGCTGCTAATTACGACACTTTGATGCAAGCTCTATTTGAGACCCAAGCAAACGGCCATGTGCCCCAGCAGGGTGTGTAATAGAGCCACGTCCATGATAGCCATTTTTTCCGTGTACAGTTTATCCCTTTTTTTTTTCCTTTTACAAGACTGCGCAATGCTAGTCTGGTGTTCGGGACTGAAGTCCTCAGGGCTGGGAAAAGGGTTTTGTTTTAGGAAGTGGAATACCCACCGCCAAATGTTTTCAAATTTTATGCCTCCTAGTTCTCTACTCGCAAAATGAAACCGATTCTAGTAATGTTAGTATTTCATAGGGCTTGTTTAGCCCCGAATTTGCATGTGTATGGGTTTGTTGTACTCCGTAGCCAGATTGGAACCATGCTCTATTGAAGTCTTGCATTTGTAGTCACTGAATTTCATTTCATTGCTAGTGCTATGTATTCTTTTTCTATTATGACACAAGCAGACAAAAAAATCGTAATATTCTATCATATCAGGGGCAAAGATAATGCATACTATACACAATTCCTGCTTTAAGCGGTTGTGAGATATCGACAAGAAGGAGAATAATGAAAAATGAAATGGATATTGAGCACTTATCCTATGACCTCCCTAACCGTCGTCTGAGCATCATACACGAGATAATAAGTAAAAACGCCTGCGCTATGCAACGGGCCCAGAGCCCAAGTCTTCAAGAAAGAAGATAAGTCAAAAATCACCATCTTCCACCTCCTCCGCGGCGCCGATATCCACCGCCGCCGCCGCCGCCACCGCCACCACCGCCATACCGAGGAGCCCGACCAGCACCGGGGCGACCACCAGAGGTGTAAGGGTTATCATCTTCTTCATGGTGACGAACTGGCGGAGCCCGGCCCTTCAACTCTATGCTCAGTTTCTTGCAGTTCTTGCGCATGTCTGAGTATCCCATGTGCATCTTTCCGAAGAAGTGATCCGCCAACCGGCGGTCGTTGTCAAGACGAGACAAGTAAGCACCGCAAACGTCACAGACTTGCAGCTTTTGATGGCCGGATGGACCAGAGGTATCTTGGAGGTTCTTGAGATCGCGCTCAAGACTTTCCTTCTGGTGCTTGGAGGTGCGGACTTTGTGCATTTCACTGAGTGCTAGTGCGACAGAGCCTGTTTCGCCGAGAATCGAGACTTCTTGGAGACCGGAGTTGATTGTGTTGGAAAGATCGGCAATTTGTTTGAGCTATATAAGAAGTTAGTGAAGCCCAACGGAGTCCATCACATGGGGGATTGAATATAGAAGTAAAGCTAGACATACCAGGTCGTTCGTCTGCCGAATCTCATCCGGCGTCTTTTCCAGTCTGCGCTGCGCAGTGTCGATTCGGCGGTCACAGTCGTCAATGTACTTCTGCATGTCGCGCAAGTAATCGAATTCAAACCCCCATTTTGCCTTCTCTGAGGAAGGTGCGGTGTCATATTCCGTCTTCAAGCCTTCGCTGTGAACCTTGGGGCAAGGTCCGAGATCTTGCTTGGTGTTGGTGAACAGGTCGTGCGGGCAAGTGCCAACAATGTAGGAACGGCAAACTTTGTTGTCTGTGATTGCGAGCTGGGAATTGCGACCCTGTGCGCCAGTTCCAATGAGCTGATCAGCTATAGACAGAAGCAATGTTAGCTCAATTTGGAGACTTGTCGGGGTAGGCTAGAGCTGGGATATTTTGAGAGTCATAAAAAGAGCAACATACCTCCCATGAGCTGCTCAAGCAGCTTTCTCTGTTCTGCTGCCATGTTGATAGTTTATCCACGAAGCTGGAAAGGAAAGGAAAGACGAAATTGTGTCAACGGGCTGATTGGCGGCAAACGACGAAGTCTTTCGTTTTTGATGCTTTTGGCGCCAAGGAAGGCGGTGAGCCTCCGCAGTCAACGAGACCAGATGGGCATCTCGGGGATTCTGAAGTTTGGCTTTGATTTTTCTTTCGATGCGGAGCTTTTCTATTGACTCGGTGATTACCTAGATCTGATTTTCTGCGGCCACAGCCAACATAGGCCCATCGCTTCGCCGATACCCCCTGCCAATTGCCCCGTGATAACCGCGTGGACGAAGACCGAGCTCCGGCAAGCATGAAGTCATGACGGTCCTTTCACTATTCTCACTTCCTTTCGTCGCGCTTATTCTCTCACTATGGAGCTCCTCTGTCTTTGCGTCATCGGACTATCACGAGCACCTCCTCCTACAACCTCTCCCGCAGTCCTCCTTACTAGCTTCTTTTAACTTCCGAAGCAATACATCACAACAATCATTCGACCAACAACATTTTAGATATCTGCCTCGCGCCCTTGGTCAAATACTCCAACACGCCCACACAAAAGAATTACACCTCCGCTTCACCACGGGAAGATGGGACGCTGAAAGTTGGGGCCCACGGCCATGGAACGGCAGTAAAGAAGGAGGCACTGGCGTCGAGCTTTGGGCGTGGATTGATGCGCCGGGTGACGAAGAGTATGCTCCCCACTTGAAATATGACCTGAGAGGCATACAATGCTGACTTATTTAGGGCTTTTGCCAAATGGATCACCCTGACGCAGTCCCTCTCTGGTTTGTTCTGCGCCTCGCTGAACTTCGTAGACTCGACCCGGACTACTCGACCTGTTGTTTCTTTTGAACCAGCTGGGGATCACTCAGCTGCCGACCAACTGCACCTTTTGCATGGAACACTTCCCGGAGAGGTAGTTTGCACAGAGAATTTGACTCCTTTCTTGAAGCTGCTTCCTTGCAAAGGCAAGGCTGGAATCTCTTCACTATTTGACGGGCACAAATTGTTCGATGCCGCATGGCAGAGTATGTCAGTGGATATCCAGCCAGTCTGTTCTGCAGACGGAGAATGTGTGGTTCAGATCGAGCAAACCGTGGACATGGTCTTGGATATTGACCGGTCCAAGCGCTCTCGTTGTGCGTATTTTTCACTGGAACACTCTGGCTCAAGATTGCTTACATAGATCTAGCGAACCCAATTCCTCGACCTGTGCCTAATGAGGAGCTCGTTTGTGACACTTCCAAGCCTTATAATTCAGATGATACCTGCTACCCGCTAGAGAAGACAAACGACAAGGCCTGGAGTCTTACGGAAATATTTGGGCGAAGTATAAATGGTGTTTGTCCTCTTACAGATTTCGATGGAACTAGCGACCAAAGTGTCTGCCTTCGGGTGCCCCACGAACGGGGTGTCTTCATATCGGAAGTGGCCGATGAAATCAAGAAAGAGGATGGCTTTACGCGCTGTTTCAGATTGGCGCCATCACTTCCCTTTGATCTCTCGATTCCGCAGCAACCAGTGAACACCGAAGTTCCGTTGGACGAGCCTGTTTTGCACGCAGAGAGAACTATCGTTGGCCACGGCCAGGAGCGCGGTGGAATGCGCATTATCTTTGGCAATCCATCCAACATCAGCGCAGTTGATTTTATCTACTTCGAGTCTCTTCCGTGGTTCTTGCGACCATATATACATACTTTGCGCGCAACAATCACAGGGCACGATGGAGTCCTGCGCGAAGTCCCAGCCTCTGAAATCGTCAAAGAGACGTACTACCGGCCCGCCATTGATCGCGAGCGTGGAACCCAATTAGAATTGGCGCTGTCTGTTCCCGCCGCATCAACTGTCACGTTGACTTACGATTTCGAGAAAGCCATTCTTCGGTACACCGAGTACCCACCCGATGCCAATCGAGGGTTCAACGTTGCACCTGCTGTAATTCGAATCTTGGATAATGCCCACAAAGCACCGATCTACATCCGTTCTACGAGTCTGCTGCTTCAACTCCCAACCCCGGATTTTAGCATGCCATACAATGTGATCATTCTCACTAGTACCGTGATTGCACTTGCATTCGGAACTATCTTCAACATCCTGGTTCGACGAGTTGTCTCCATAGATGAGGCTGACGCTCTTGGAGCCCAGACTTTGAAAGGCAGGATACTGGGGAAAGTGGTGGCTATTCGTGATCGCCTCCGTGGCAAGGATACTAAAGTGGAGTAGTTCACATCTGAGTATAATAATTACAATTACAATATTTAGCGGTTTCAATGTCCCGTAAGATATTTGTAAAAAGGCTAACTTCGGTTCTCTACTGCTATTTTTCACATAGAACGTAAGGACCTGAGGTTGAAGCCAAAAATGACCGCTATCACAAACCTCTTTACAATGGATGCACACAGGAGGCTGTTCATACAACTGCCTCTAATTTCATTATTCAGAATTTAATAGTAAATATCAATGCAACACATGGTCACTTGGCTGGACCGGTTATACCAAGAGACCGACCAATGCTTGAGCCTGACGCGAAAGCTTGCCGGACATGCTCTTCCAAATGCAACACATTATCAATTCCTTTCCAAAATAGGGAGTCAATTCGGAGAAGGCCAAGATGGAGGCAAGGCAAAACATCAGCCTTCAGGCGCATATCCCGGCGCACTTTGTGCAAGCAAGTGACCCATTTATCTGCCTCGCTCCTATCAATGGAGCTGGCAGCCATGTGCAGGATTTGGAAACAGATGGACGAGAATGCGGTTGCACTCCAGGCCGGCCATAGAGCCTCAAGGTCCTCTGGGCGCAGCTCGTAAATAAATTCCGCTGCCGCAGAAATGCAGGTTTCTGCTCGGATCCGGGCCTGCTCACGCGCTAGTATATAATCGGCCTCGTTCAAATTTTCGACAGTTGGCTGCAGGAATGGTCTCAGAATGGCCCTACAAATACTAAGATGAATGTAATGGTAGTTCGTCTCGAGTGTTCTTTCTAGTCCGATTGGTCTGCCTTGATGCGATGATCTAAAATCGGTCGATGGCGCAAATACCGGTCTATGCCATGAGAAGAGATCTTCAAGCAGTGGACCCGTCAACGCGATAGTCTTCTCGTAATCGGTAGATATGGTATTAATGGCACGGGGAGAGCTAATACTGGTGAGTTGCGGATAACGACGAAATAATGGACATGCGGCTTGACTTACTATAATTGGGTTAGAACACGATCAAGGAGAGAGTCGAGTTCCGCTCGCTTCATGATGTTCGTCCAGGCTAGAGGGTCAAGTCCACTGACAGGATGATCCTCTTGGCTAGGACTTGTCACGAGCCAGTTATCATAGTGTAGTAAAGGTGGCCGACCAAGGCTCAATGCAAGCCACTTGTCTGTCGAATAAATGAAATAAGACAGACAACGTCGCTGGGCAATTTGCCATGGAGGTATTCTCCATGACTTTGGATCCAAATGTAGCCCAAGGGTGTGAGCGCAAGCAATAAGAGTGGCAAGTTGGGACCATTTGAAGCCACTATCCAATACAATTGGGTTTGGATAAGGTCGAATGGCCAAAAGAAGCATTGTCTGTACAATACAAAGCTTCGGGGCATGTATCTCATGTGGAAGCGCTTTGTTGATAATATCGTACAGTGCCACACTTGATGGCTTATCATATGCGAGATCAATGCATAGTCTTTCGTCAAATTTAGTGAAGGGCTCGACTATTAGGTATACGCTCGCAAGGAGGTATGGCGGGCTGGTGCTGGGATTTAATTGGCCTGGTGGACCAAGTATTGGGTAATCCGGTGCGACAATCCTCTCAAACAGGTTAATTAGCCTGATTCCAATATCTCCTGGGACCAAAGTCTCGAGTTCCTGCCTCAACTCAAGGGTCGAAACGTTCTCGCATCCGTTTTCCTCTCTGCTGGCAGCAAATATTGATGGCTTTGACAGTAGAAATTGAGTTTGGTCGGCCCCTGAAGACACAGATTGGATGTTGAGATTTTTGAAATGAAAAGCCCCAGATGTGTCGTATTGATAACGACTCATCAGCAAAGGGTCCATATCGCCACTACTGCCGAGCAACTGTGGTGTCATTACACCTTGAGTATCAAGGCAAATCGATGAGCCATTCTCTTGCATAAGCAATGGCAGGCAGGCGGCCTGCGATGAACCTCTATCCTCCGAGCGACCAGTCCCTGGCAGCCCAGGAGATGGATAGATAAAGCTCCCTGGACTAAATCCAGTTGGCCATGTGCCATCTCCAAAGCCACCCGATAATGATACTCCAGCTCCATCAAAAAAGTCATGAAACCCCTCGGGTGCAGTGGCAACCGAATGATCTACCCCATCATGATCAATTGACATCAAGATATCGTAGTGGACTGAGTCACCAACTGGTGAAACCTCATGCTGCTCTGAGCGTGAGTTTACCTCAGCCTGTTGGGGGATCTCTGGGCTGACCACGTCGGAAAAAAGCTGGCGTGGCCTTGAGGTTGGCTGTAGGAATGTGCACTCTTTCCCATGAAGTGTGCAAAGATAACAGGGAGGTGCTCGATCAATGCGACAAGCTGCCTTCCTAGCCCGACAGGAATCACAAGCGCGGTTTCGCTTACTCATGTACCTACGAGCTCTCCCTGACATCCTTGCATCGAGGAAATTGTCATGAGTATATGTATATGTATTAGTCGCTAAACCCCGAGGGTTCAAGAAGGATGTAGGACAGTCAAATGACTGATACCGGTGGCCCCACATGCCACGTGACTATATATGTCTCTTTAACGTAGCTCTCTGGATTCAGTTCTACGTCCTCGTCTATTGAGGTAATTTATTGTTACTAAAGATTCATTTGAGGTTTTATATATATGTGATTGTAATTGAACTAGGGCATACTAGTCCCAAGAGGAGATGGTGCGATATTAGCATCCCGAAGCGGAGATTTACTTTCACTTTACTCTCACTTCTTCCTACATATATCGCTTTTGGTCCAATATTTCGGAGGTCCCACTGTAACTTGGACAACCACCAGCCCATTCCCGTTCCCAACCCCCAACGATAGTCTAGAGGCAAAGGTCTCGGACAAAGTGCCTGGGCAAGCCATTCAACAACACATTCAGGTGATAAAGAAGGAGCGAAGGGCCTTCGCGAAAGTGCGCGAGGCATTTGATAAGGACTGCGAAAAGTTCAACAAGGACCCACTTCCGAAGCTCAGGCCTTTGTGCCTTTGCCCCGGAAGTACATGTTTAACAGTTCCAGTTCTCACAGCCCATTTTCTGATAGCCAATACCTCGGTTAAGAAACTGCAGGCCTAAACCCTATGCCTCCAGCGACCAATATTATAACCACCCGGTCCCTCAGTACAACTACAGGAATGGATTCATGATACTTTGACATATGAAATCTTGTAGGGCCATGTTGATAATGGAGCGCCCGTTGGTCCCACGCCCAAGGACTGAGCGAGTTTTGAAGTTTTGCAGTTTGTGGGTGTTATGACCAACTGGTTAGGCGTTGACCACAATCCGGCGTCCTATCCTTGACTTGTGGGCTAAATGACCCGCTCATCAAACCAAGTCTTATTGTTCATTTGAGACGCAGAATTACGTACAAGACAGCCCACCTGGGCAGGCTGCAGCTGTGACTAACAGGAATTAAAATTTTAGGTTATCGTGCCGATAACCTTGTCCCCGCATCTCCCGGGTCGACCTCGGGAAGTAAAAAGTTTGTCATAAAATTCCTTGTGAACCCTTTTATTGAATTCGGACAAATAGTGATGTATGGAGTGTAGAAATTAGGGACGACAAAAATTGGGGCTTACTCGGAAACGTGGGTATGGAATATAGGCAAAAGCAGCGCAAGAAAAAGAAAGGTTAGGTCTACTGCTGAACAATATATCCTGGCATCATGGCCCATTCAAGGGAGGCTAGAGCTTTAGCGAAATAACTTTTTGGTTTCTTCTTTTTCTTTTTGTACATACTCCCCATTACTCTTCACTCTTGCCGAAGTGCACCTGTCGAAGGATTCGACTGGTATCTTCAATATATACAAAGCTCTGCGAGAGTCCCCTTTCGGGGTGATTGAAGTGCCCGAATGCATGTGGCACGCCTGGGTATCTCTTCATTGTGACCTCAGTTCCAGCCCTTTCCATAAGCTGACCATAATACTCTCCTTCATCTCGCTCAAGATCAAACTCTGCTGTGATGATATGCGCCTTTGCAAGGTTTTTGAATGAAGGAGCAAGTACAGGTGTGCAGATCCACTCTTGCGTCAAGATTCTTTCTTGGATAGCTAGAAAAACATTAGTACATGCACGAAGAGAATTGCAGGAGCGGAATAGAGAAAGGAAAGACTGACCATCATCATCGCCAAGCCAATACTTCAGGAACCATTGCTCTCTGCCTAGTGGTCCCCAAGGGGCATCATGGTAAAGCAAGACACTTTCGTAGGGGCAAGTAGTCTCATTCAACTCGCGGGTCCTTAGGCAGTACCGCATGTCTGTCGCCGGAACTATGATCAACTGAAGTTTCAGGTCAATGCCCTTGTCGCGGGCGAAATGCGCTATTACTGCAGTCATTTGACCTCCAGCCGAGAGACCTCCGATAGAAACACTCGATGGATCAGCGTTGATACTAGAGGCATTGGCGATTGTCTATTCAAATATTCTGTGTTAATGAAGCAAACCTCAACGGACTTGGGTCTTGTACTTACCCATTTCACAGCATCCCATGAATCGTAGATGCTGGTAGGGTAGGGAAACTCCGGAGCCAGTCGGTAGTCGACATCAATCACTTTAATTTGGGCCTTGTTGCACATGTGCCGGCACCAAGCAGCTTCAGAGTTGAGATTGCCAAGTACCCAACCACCTAGAGTCAATGAACAGGGGTTAGAAAGTCCACGTTGGGGAGCATAAGCGCGCTGTAATAAATTGGGTACCTCCATGGAAGTTCAAATGAACAGGAAATGGCCCCGGACCTTCCGGCGTATAGACCCTGATCATGATCTTTCCAGCTGGTTGGGAGACCGGGATCTCTATGTCCTCAACATGAAAAACGGACGGACCTTGGTCATAGTCAGTACTTGTTTAAGACCCTAATTCAATGACCGAAGCTCATAAATCTGACATACCAGGGGATGTTGGGTAGGTGAAGCTGTACGTGGAGGGACTTTTGCGATATTCTTCAAGGGATAGCTCGTCGGCTCTCACCATGGAGCTGCCATGCTTCTCCCATAGTTCTACCCATTCGGGATCCAGTCCATTCAAGAGCTTGTCTGGTATAGACAAACGCCCCTTCTTCTCTTCTACCACGACTGCTGTTTGTGTACTGGCCATTGTTATGTGTCAAAGCAACGATTAGCTTTGCGATAAAGAGAAAGTTTGAAGTTAAGAAGATGGTAAATGGTCAATCTTAAGCGAACGATTAAAACTAATCAAAGAAAAATGCGACAGTGTTGATAAATTTAGTCACCTACCCTTTGATATGCCTCGGACATAATGCAGGGCTCTGGTTGGCGGCATCGGCCATATTATCGGCTCCGATCTAAGCGATAGGCGTCGGGGTGGGGGTCTTCCTATCTGCGGGTCCCATGTGGACCATGCACCCCGGATTAGTTCCCGATGTTGAACCTTCCACTGACCGAGTTGGTTAAATTAAAACCCGTTCCTCTGATTTCACACGAAGTAGAGAAGAGGTATTTTTTCCCCTCACACATTGGTTTACATACTGCTTCATATATTTATATCTTGTTCGGCCGAGATGGATTCTTTCTCAGCCGATAACCGCAGAGACCATTCAGAAGAGGAACTGGATAAAGTTGACCAGTCTCCTACTGGTCTCCATGCTGGACTCCGCCGTATTCCTGACAAATTCCCACGTGTCGCACTACTAATCCTTGTTGTTGAGGTATGTTAACCCCACCGCCCATGTCTTGATTCCCTAGCTCGTCCGCTAACGTCGACAAATTAGCTTGGCGAACGGTTCACTTATTTTGGCCTTAGTGGTCCTATGCAAAATTATATCAAGTAAGTTTGGTCTTTCAAAAATGAGTAGCTATGTTAGGAGCGATGTCTAACTTCTTTATCTAGTAATCCCTATGATCCTGGTTCAGGTCTCCCTGGCGCACTAGGCAGAGGACAAGCAACCGCGTCGGCTCTTGGAAACTTCTTTAAATTTTGGGCTTATGCCTCCACCATAATTGGCGCGATTGTTGCAGGTAATACATCTTCCCCGGGATCTTGGAGGATTGTTGCTAATAATCCACTAGATCAATATGTCGGCAAATTCAAAGCCATCACAATCTCTCTGGGAATTTACATGGTCGGGTTGACCGTCCTGGTTGCCACTGCAACACCAGCCGGCCTTAAGAGTGATGCTGGCTTTGGAGGGTTGGTTGCCGCAATGGTCATCATTGGCCTGGGAACAGGTGGAATCAAGGCCAACGTGACCCCCATGTGCGCCGAGCAATACCAAAATGCAGAGCCGGTTTTGAAGACGCTCAAATCAGGCGAGCGTGTGGTTATTGATCCTGAATTGACCGTGCAGCGACTTTTCATGTGGTTCTACTGGGTTGTCAATGTTGGCGCTCTCTCCCCCTTGATTACAGTCAATGTTGAGGCAAAGCACTCTTTCTGGCTTGCATATTTGATTCCATTGATGTGAGTTGGGATGAGACACATACATGATCTACCTGCTGATTTCTTTCAGTGCAATTGTTCTCTCGGCTATCGTCTTCTTGTCCGGCCAGAAGCGATATGTTAAGATTCCTCCCCAGGGGTCTGCTATTATAGATGCATGCAAGGTCTTGAACATCGCCCGACAGGAGAAGCATTTCGAAGACGCAAAGCCATCAGCTTTAGAGGCATCAGGCCGTTTAAGCAAGTATCCCTTTGCGTCTTCGCCGCGCTACACGGATCAGTACGTCTCAGACGTCCGCCGAGGCTTTAGAAGCTGCAGAGTAAGTCAAAAATTCAATACTTCTGCACTGAGTTATTCTTACACATAATAGATGTTTATATTCTTCCCATTTTATTTTGTTTGTTGGGTCCAGATTTGGAACAATCTAATCTCACAAGCTGGACAAATGGCGTTGCACGGAACGCCGAACGATCTCCTGCAAAACCTTGACCCGATCGCCTTGTGTATCTTTATCCCACTTCTTGACTGTGAGTATTGACATGATGGCACCAAAAGGTACATCTGCTAACCCATCTATCTCTAGTGGGCGTTTATCCAGTTCTTCGCAAGTTTAAGATCAACTTCAGCCCAGTCCGTCGAATCTTCGCCGGTTTCCTTCTTGTCTCGATCTCCATGGTCTACTCCAGCGTGCTGCAGCATTACATTTATATCTCGCCAGAAAAGAGCATACACGTGTGGATTCAAGCCCCTGCGTATATCTTTGTCGCATTCTCCGAAGCATTTGTTATCGTTACTGGCTTGGAACTTGCCTTCACACATGCTCCGAAAAAGTGAGTCAACCGGCCCCATGATACCGTCCATCTTAAACTAACCACAACCGACTCCAGCCTGCGATCCTTTATCTCCGCACTCTTCTGGCTCATGATCGGCATTGCGGCAGCGATCTGCATTGGCCTAAGCCCAGTGTCGCAAGATCCGTATATTCTTTGGATGTATGCATCTCTTGCAATTGTGGGTTTCGTGGCGGGGTGTCTGTTTTACATTTGCTTCAGAAAGAGTGACTCCCTTGATCCAGTTATCCCGGAACTCGTCGAAGGAGTTCCAGTGGAAGGAAACAGACAACATGTCACACAAGTTGCTGATCATGCCAAACACACCGAAGTATAGACGTCGTCTGTTCAATTAAATAGTCTATATAATCAATATACTTCCACCTATTATTTTTACACTGTTTGTCTTATATCACATGTCCAAGTAGATGTTTGTTCGAATAGATATCTCCTCCAGCTCTCAGCTTCCACAAATCTCCATTCATTGTCGCGTCCACTATTCACTTTTACGTCTTCCTTTCTGTAGACCCTTCACGACATGTTTTATAGCTGCGGAAAATGCTTTCAGGCTCAAATATCTATACACAATACGTGCAACACCCTAGCATTCTCAGCGATAGCAACATGTTTTTTTTTTAGTTTCAATTATTTCAATATCTCGAAAGATTGCCCTAAACAGGACACCGCAAGTGTGGCAATTATCGCAAGCCAGAAATTTGCGAGATACTGTGTACTCTTGGTATCCACCTTCCCCAATGCCATGTGCTTTTATCAACCGAGCCCTGATATAGTCCGTACAACGTTTCCAATTCAACCGGAGCTGGAATCATGGGCACCAATCACAAGCTATGCCGTTTGACCCACAGTTGAATGCCGCCAATCGGAGCGGTCCCTAACCCATCGCCTCCAAGATAGGCGCTCGTTTACTCGTTAATTCCATCTAAATTTCCAAGTCTAGATTGAAAGTTGTACACAAGATAAGCAATGTGAAATCAAATGAGTCAAAGTGGATGCCCCTTAATAAGTAAGAAGTTTTCGTTGCTTTTTGTGTAAATAAAAGGGGCCCCAGACCTAGACAAATTGAGTTCTAGTCATTTGATTGAGTTTTTGAACACTGATCTAGTAAACAATGAAAAGCGAATCTGTGGTAATTATTGGGTGCGTGCTCGAAAAAAAAAAGATCCCTGCAGCTCACAGATATGAACTAACATTTCTCTGTTGAAGTGCCGGCATCATTGGACTGAATGTTGCCCTGGTCCTTGCCGAGCAAGGTTATGCCAGTCAAACAACGATTATAGCCGAGCACCTCCCTGGTGATACATCCATAAACTATACTTCGCCTTGGTAAGCCGGTTTGCTCTTGATGGCACCTGTAGATATACTATCTGATTTCAATGATGCTAACGCGATCTAGGGCTGGCGCGAACTTCTCTGCTCTTTCTGCAAGCGATAAGAATGCCTTGCGATGGGATCAACTCGGGTACAAGCACCTCCTCAAACTTGCCGCACAAGATGGGATGAAGGCATTTGTTCGGGAAACCCCCTCTACCGAGTACTGGGATGAAATGCCGTCGCGCACGAAGCTCGATTCCATGGCTAGCTATCTGAAGGATGTGAGTCGATTACCAAGAAGCGGTGATTTATCTGCTCCGATTCAGGTTACTGATATGGAAAACCCACAGTACAAAGAGATTCCTCAGCAGGACCTACCAGAAGGTGTTGCATGTGGTGTCAAATTCACCACAGTAACCCTCAATGCCCCGATGCACATTCGCTATCTTCTTCAAAGACTCAGAGAGCAGTACGGAGTGCGGGTCATCCGCAAAAAGGTCTCGGGTATCACCTCGGGATTCCTCAGCAAGGACACAAAGGTGGTTTTTAACTGCACCGGTAATGCCGCTCGTACCCTGAAGGGAGTCGAGGACCCCAAGTGCTACCCCACTCGAGGCCAAATTCTGCTTGCCAAGGCAACACACGTCAACCAAAATGTGATGAGACACGGGAAGGATTATGAGACATACATTATCCCTCGACCACACTCCAAGGGTAATGTCATTCTCGGTGGATATATGCAGAAGGGAGTCGGGTGAGCCAAATGGATCAAAATATTCTCCGTTGTTTTCACACAGAGTGCTTCAAGGACTAACGGTTATAGCTTACCTGATACACTCGGAGATGAAACCGAGTCTATATTATCCCGGACTAAGGCAATGCTACCTGAGCTTGAGTCGCCCGAAACGGAGATTCTCGCAGCATTTGTAGGCTTGCGTCCATCACGAGAGGGAGGTGCCCGAGTTGCCAGTGAAGTTGTGAAGATCGATGATTCGGAGCGAAACGGCCTCGTTGTTCACAACTACGGCGCTGGAGGAACGGGATTCCAGGCTGGGTATGGAATGGCAGTTGATGCGGTTGGATGCGCGTTGGGTGAACTTGAAAAACTTCAAACCATCAAATCATCTCTATAGGGCTAATCTCCTGGGGCTGATAAAAGTGGTCCTTATAAGATCAATAGAACTTGCCTATGTACTACACTACGATTTAGCTTTTACATTTTTAAGATGCTTTCGGAAGAGTGATTTTGTTCATAGATAACGTAGAAATTTGGAAGTGACAGTATAGTAAGTACATAGCTTCATCTCACCCAGAGGGATAATCCAGCTTACCCTCTACAACAGATTGGATTTGGTTAGAACTATAATCCTATAAATCTTTCAAGGGACAAATAGAAAACTCACCTGCCGAAAAAGTTCTTAAGTGTACTCCACCCAGGATAAGTATCCGGGTCACCGGCCTTACGGCTCATAAAACTATGATCTTCAGTGGCGCAAGTCGGCTCTCCTTCGACATTCATAGGCTTAACCTCGGCATGAAGCAAGCTCTCACGCTCAAGGTACTTATTTTGCGCACGCGTCTTCTGATCGTTCAAAGCGAGGAAGTCGCCCATTGTTGATCTAGGATTGGTGGCCTGCGATATGAGAATTAGGACAAGTTAACGTATGCTCTGAAGCTGTCCTAGAAACACCAAATCACATACCCCTGCGTGACCCAATCCCTCATTTTTGCCACCTAACCACAGCCTGTCGCCCCATCCTTCTCCACCGCCGACATCGTTAGCGGGAGTGGGTTCGGTACTGGTGCCGCCAGCGACCGCTGTCGTTTGGGGGTTGGTGCTACTATCGCTGCTCATTTTGATATTGCAGTTAGTTTGACCCTGCATATGAGGTTATTAGCAAAACAACCGATACTGAGAGCGGGAAGACGCTCTTGAAGGGATAAATTGATGAGAGAAGTGGATGGTATAAGTCGGCGTTGGTATCAAGAGGTTTGTATACTCACGATATATGTGTTGAGGAAATCCCGTTCGGAGGTGGTTGCAATTCTTGTGATTGAATTTGTATCGATAGTGGGTATCTGAGCTAAAGTTGAATTTATTTACTCCGTACTTGGATTTATATATGCTTTTTGGCCTTGCCTTAATTCTTGCCACGACCCCGCATGAAGTCATGATGAGTATATAACACTCTCTGTGATTGGTTCACAATTGATATTCTCTTCAATTACTTTTTACTTCCTCTCTAGATGTAGATGGTACATGCATCACTTATATATATGTGGGTGTTCTAGCAGGCATTTAAATATGTTAAAAGAAAGTTAGTTATAAAACCTAATGGTAAAAAACAAGACCCAAAGAGGCTCTTCGGGGGTCCACTTTTTAAGTTTTGGAACTATATGTGAACACCAGGGGTGCCCAGGTGCCTCATGTTTGATACCAACCTTTCGGAGATATGGCGAGTACAAAGGACGAGCCTTTTTAGAACGAGGTAATTCAATAATCTGATCCATTTGGCTTAGATGTAAAATGTACAAAACGACTTTTCCGTGTATGATATGTGACTAGCGAATCTATTACTTATGGACTCAAAGCTTATTTATTTAACCTATGTCGACTCACAAAGCCAATATTGTCATTGAGTTTCGAGTGGATTGCTCATTTCTTGCGGGGATGCTCCAGATCATACCGAACCACCCTGAAAGTTGGCCAAACCTGCAACAAAACAGCGCCAACCATCATACAACCCGCAAAGACCTGAGCATGCAAGAACTCTGCGGTATCAAGATTTACCAAAGCACCTGCAATCGGAGTTCCAGCAAGCGCTCCGAAAGACGATATCCCCCACATCATGCCCAAACGAGTCCCCAAAAAGCTCGAATCCGGACAGAAAATCGGATGTGCCACAATGGAAGTCGGCGCCGTTACCAAAACACCACTGAGAGCTCCCCAGTAGCATGCCCAGACAATAAACCCAGCCATATCGGTAGCTGCAATCCAAGTGAACATAGCAATCGCCGACGCCGTCACAGAGAATATGAGGATACCGATGGGCTTGATGTATGCGACAAGCAGATATGGAACGACACGACCAATAACCGACGTGCCATTGACAATAGCAACCATATAAAAGCTAAAATCAGTCGTTGTATGCACCACTGTGCGGGCATAGGAGGCGATATAGAAAATGGGCACGTAGTAGGCGAGCATGACACACGTGAGTGAGAGCGAGAACATCATAAACGAGGGCTCACGGAAGGCCCTCCAATCGATAAGACTTCTTGCATGGGCCCTTTGGCCTGGTTGTCGACACAAGATTAGACATGCTACAACAGCAAGAAATAGGCTGATGAAGCCGATACTGCGAACTGCCCAAGGGAACCCGACCCTGGGCTGCAGTTGGCGGAACATGACTGGGAAAATAACGGCCCCCACGCTAGACCCGATTGATGCGCAGCCGATGGCGATTGGGCGTTTTGTGGTGAAACTCGTGGAGATCACGACGAGGGCTGGGATATAGGAAATGCCGCCTCCCATTCCGACGCAAAATCCTTGCGCGAGCAATACCTGTTCTCGTAAGAAAGTCTTCTTCCAATGTTGGATTTCAGATTTACCTGATAGTACGAAGTGGCGAGACTTGTCATCATCATTCCGAATACAGTCAAGAAACTTCCGGCGATAATTAGAGGGCGCAAGTATCCGACGTCAACTAATGGTCCCGCAGCAAGACCAACCATTGGGATTAGAGTGGCCTGAATACTGCCCACCCATGAGATTGTGGATGGTGTCTCATTTGGTAGAAGTTCTGTCTGGTAATACTCCTGAAACGCGCCATAGGTTGTCAACAGGCCCCTAGAACAAATATTAGTTTGATATAAGCATAGTATGACAACAATATAAACCAACCAAGAGTTCACAAAAACACAGAAGCCCGCAAGGACATTTAACCATGCATCAAGGCCCCCGTTTACTCTTGTTTTGGGTTGTTCGAGTTGACGTTCATTATCGGGCGCCAAGTTGCCCGATGGTGGCAAATGTGGTTGGACGTCATGTCTCTTCTCCGTTGAAACCATTTCGATATACATTTGCCATTATGTATCAAAGCAGAACGGTTATAACAGTTATAAGGAAGAGAACCCTTTTTCACCCCAACACTCCAGTGTGGGGAAAACTGGGGTTTCCATTAGTCAAGTCCTTCGGTTCGACCGGCACTACGTAACCGAGCTCTACCGATTTGGTTGGTTAATATGGGTGATTTATGTCTATGCAGCTACTCGAACGGAGACCTCCGAATTTCCGAATTTCGAGCTTGAATGGTCTTCACTATATCTACTTGCACATGTTGAACACGGGCACTTCCGCTTCCGGAATATATATCGCGTCATTCTTCTCTCAGGCTCGTTTGAGGATCTAATTTTGTGCATTTATTTTGTTAGATGTTTGTTTATTTATTTGCCTCTTTGTTCCTATAAAGCTATATTATATGGCTTGTAGTAAGTGTTCTTGGTTGATTGTCCGCTATTATTTCCCACCCTCTCCCTACCTTGACAGTTCTACGTCAATCACGTTTCGATGATAATGCAAATATTTATCCAGTATAACCGTTTTGTTCTCGGGGAATTTCTTAGCTGCATGTTCCTATTTAGTGCCGGTTGACGCGAGACTTGACCAATCACATCCACATCGGGGAAAAAGCCCTTACATATTAACGACCTTCGTTCTATATGAGCAATCGAAATCACATATGGTTCAATCGAAACGTTTTGTCGCCTTTGACCTTATGAATTCCATCACCGATTTTACATGGCATTTGCCGAATGATTCCACACAACAATGCTATTTCTCAGATACGTTAACTATGGGCTGATCCCCAAAGAATTTCGTTGATGATGGCCCATATACCTAGTCCGTGACCATCATTACCGCCTGGATCCGCAGAGACATTCAATACATGTGTGGGCGTATGTATTGGATTTAGGCTGCTGTCGCGATTTTTCCGATTGGGGTGCCGCCGTTTTATGAGGGCACTCAACTGGGCATCCATTTCACAGCACAGGCCGATTACTTTGCAACCGCTTAATCGTACTTGGTAGGTAGTCAGATGATATTAGGTGAATGCCAAGGCATGCAAGCTTACGTAGTAATGTTCAAATAATGCTCAAGTTATGCTCAGTGAGCACTCAGATCGTCCTTAGTCAACTCTTAGCGTGTGCTCAAGTGGCATGTCGGGAATAGAGTTATGGAGGAGAGAGAAATAACTATATCAACATTAATTGGAGCCTTTGATTTGGGTTGATTATTAAATTTTAGTGTATATTGTATTGGCAGGCATAACAGTCAATATCGTAGTAAACTCAAAATATACAACCAGGGAAAAGAAGCAAGGACAAAATAGAGATGTGGGTGAGGATAACAGACAAGTCTGTGTATTTTATCCCGGTGTATCGCAAAAATAAAAAAAATGAAAAAAGCCAGCATTGTCCAAACAAATCTCCAATGTGACATCTCATACACCATCTGCCATTTTGATCAACGAGCTCTCATGCGTCAACATGCATCACGATTAGAACAGTCGAAGTATATTATCAAGGTGATTCAATGAGACTTCAGTTCTGAGTACCACATTGAGGACAGAACCGGCTAGAGACAGCGGTTCCGCACTGGGTACAGTACTTGGAAGCAGTTGCCGTTGCATTGGCCTCATTCAGGGGAGGCGTACCAGAGATAGATGAATTCACCATCTCAGGGTAACCAGCATTAGGTGAGACAGGGGAATGAGGGAACTGGGCAGACTGATGCGCTGGAGCGTACGTCGGTTGAGGCGCGGCGTAGGGCTGCTGGAAGGGCTGTTGTTGCTGGACAGGAGGAGAGTTCACGTATGTGACGGTATGGTGGCTGTGGCGGCTGCGCTTGACGCAGAAGATGATGAGCAGGATCCAAGCAATGAGCTTGAGCACGCCGCCGATCACAAACATAGCAACAGCGGCATAGAACTGGCCCATATTGGAAGTACCACAAGAGTAGTCGGAATAGTAGCTGTAGTATGAGCTGCCATAAGAGCAGTTGTCATATGAGTTGGAGGTCCATGAGCCCACGAGAGCACCGCCGATGATGAAGCAGACAATGGCGCCAATGAAGAAACCGATGGGCCACCACTTGGTGACCCGTGACGGCCGCGGGGCTCCTGAGACTGACTGCATGATTGAGGACGAGGGTTTGTTCGCGTGAGGAATTTTTCTGATGAACAAAAGGAAGGAAAATAAAGGAAGGACTAGAGTACGGTAGACGAAGTAGGGCCTGTTAGTTTTTAAGGCCTTTGCGCATGGACTCAGTCAGCCTCATCGTGACTAGGTTGTGATAAATACGTAAAATTTAGAAATAGGGCGCAGAAGAATGTGAGCCTATTACCGTTGACATCAGATGGAGCTTGAGGCTAGCAAGCAGCAGATCCCCCTATTTTGGCTGTCCATCTCGTATTCAGATAAACAACCTGACCCAGTTTTCAATGTCTAAAAGCATGATCTTGGTCAAATCTCCTTCCCTTGTAAAGATCGCGTAGCAAAATCTTAACCCAATTTCAATCAACTTTCATGATTTGGATGGATTTACAACCGTTTTCAATGAATTCAATGACATCAAAGGTAATATTTAGAATTGGCATATCTAACAGAGCAATGCCATGATCATTAGGGATCGACCAAGCTAAGTCACATAATACGACCTCTGGCCCACTATTCACTCTAACACGAACTTAGCGGGAAAACAGCCTAGGGGCCCTAATTTCCACTAATAACAGAATTTTCCCCGGGCTGCATGATTGGTTAGCTATATTGCTAAATTTTATAAATAGGTGTGATTGGCCTGAAGTATATGTTTGGGCCTGGCGCTAGTAGGGACTTAACCTTTTAAGTGAAGAACCATCGACAGCGGCTCTCGTATTCACAGGGACCTAGCACTGCACCCAGACACCCTTTCTCACGGCAAAAAAGAAAAGAAAAGAAAAGAGAAGAAAAGAGCAAGCTATAGCCTAGATAGAAGTTAGCCAGCATCTTGAATTTCTTTTAAATAAAGCAATGTTTGTGCCTTCTGTGCTCGTATAGTAACACAACATTTATTACCCACCTAAGCCTAGTACCCGTGGACACATCATATACAATGCTTGGGAAGTGGTGACTCCCTGCTTCGTGTTGATAATTATTAGTGGTTGTCGATAGTCTATGTGGAGATTTACCAATGGTATATCTTACACCGCTATCACGCAGGAATTATATCTTAGAAGATCCTGGTTGATGGAGTGCACATCTAAAGGGTGTTCGTAGATCCGAAACCCGGCCCTTTAGAAGGCTCCATATATGCTGTCAGATCTCACATCCGTGGACCATCTCATCTTATCTGGCTTACCAGGGCAAATGAACGAGAAAAGCCGAGAAGCTGGCTTTTGCCAAAGGTGTATCGCGAAAAGGAGGACCATGCCTAGGTGCTACCTGGGTGGTCAATTATGAGTATGTAGTGAGAACTAAACCTGGGTCCTACGAATAGAAAAAGATCCCGGAAGTATTTAGGAATCTAGAGGCATAACTTTTACTGTTTTACTGGATGCGCCTTCACATTCACTTCACATTCACTTCACATTCACTTCACATTTTCTTTATTCGTTGAGAATGGCTTGGAACTTGACTAATCTCATCGTCTCTCACTACCTAGGAACTTTCATATGATTCAACCATTCTACTAGCTTCTACCATCTCGCGAATACCACTAAAGGGCACAGCTATATGTTGATTACCATATCTAATCATCATCGGAATTTGACTTTTGCTAACAAACATGCACCCACAGTCCACATTACCTCAACTGTTGTTTCGCACCCTTGCTCTATAAAGCACTCCGATCTCCCCGCTGTCACTATCCACTGACATCCTCCAACTCCAACCTACCATCCACCGCCCACCAACCAAACCCAGCACGCACCCAATCTCCAAATACAATGGTGCATCTTAAGATAGAGGATTTACGGACAGCGGCCCTTCGGGCATTACACCGTATGAATCTCTCCCCATCTTGATAAACCCTTCCAATTCCTGTGGAGAAGAACTTGGTCCACTTGGCTCTTATCATTGACGATGGCCCCCGGCCCAACGGTACTCAGACCTGTGGAACAAGCTTGCCGCGAGCCAGGCACCTTCTGACGACCTTGGCCTAGTCCTAGCTGTGGTCACATTGGCAAAGTTAACTACTCAGTCGCCTGCCACCTCGTCAAGACATTCATCAAGTCAAATCAAACTGCTGGGCTTCACGCAGTGCTTCAGTGCTTCCTCGATTGCCCGAAGAACTTGCGGCAGTCCTTCCAAACCTACTCGAAAAAGGCACCCATAGACAAGCTCCCATTTCTCTATAGGCTCAAGCATGATCTGTCCAGCAAAATACCGGTTTTAATACTTATCTTATTAAATTTGCTATAAGCTTAGAGCTTCTATTATAGTTTAAATACGCGAAGAATTCTGCTATTTTTAGGCTTTCTAGTCTTCTAAAAGGAATGCCACTTAGTCGATCGAAGGTTTTTTACCTAGATTCCTAGTTCGAGGTCTTTATCTATAGGGGATAGAATATCTAGAATAGTAGGGCTTTTAATACCCTCCCCTCTAGACTGCGACATCGGCCGTCTATGGGCCCCTAGGAGGGGCCTAAGGCCCATCCACGGTGGGCCTTAGGCCTTTTGACTCTTAGGGGGCCCGTCCAAAAGGCCTAAGTGTTACGCACTGCTAACTGGTCATAGTTAGGTTAGAAGGGTTTGGTTATACTTACCTTATACTTCTTAGGTTTCTAATATTAACGATCTATTCTCTTAACCGTACTATTGCCTAATAGGCCTTACTATAGGATAGGTCCTTTTAAGGTATTAAGGAACGATACTAGGTAGAGCGCTAAGGAGATCTATACCGAGGTATTAGTCTACTCGTAGGTATTATTAAGTTATAATTAAATAAAGAGTCACTAAAGTTCTAAAGGTATATATAAGTAATAATATATAATTAAAGACGAAGAACTAAACTAAGTATATAAGGGAGTGTCCTTATATATATCCTTTATAGCGACTCCTAGATATACTCCTTTTATAGCGACTCCTAGATATACTCCTAGAGTATATCTAGGAGTCGCTATATACTTCTACGTATACTCCTAGGGTCGATATAGGAGTCACGCTTAGTTAGGCGTATCCTATAATCAACCCTTTCCTATAAAATACCGGGATCATACTTAGTTAAGCATATCCTACGACTATCCTACGACTAGTCTTATCCTACGATATACCTTAGTCACGTGTCTCACCCACTAGGTCCCTAAGGATCCTATAATAGTTACTATCGTGCGGTAGCCCGTATCGTAGGATCCGTGGTTCCTTACGATATAACTTATCTTAGGTTCACTAACACCGTGTGTTATTCTATATCATGAGGGTATAACGGAAAGACAATATATTTCCGTGGTGTGTCACATGACTTATTGGTTGGTTGGCTCTCGGTGGCCTATCGGTGTTCCTAGCGGGTCACCACTGATTGGTGACGGGTAGGTCCGTAACATATCGTACCCCTTCTATCTCACTAAGTAGTGAGGCTTTCCGCTCATTCGTTTCATTTCTAGAATTTCCTCAACCTTATATTTATTTTCGGTTTCCTCTTCTATTTCCACATTTATCGCGAGTTTAGCGTTATTTAGTACGGGTTCGAGTAACGAGATATAGAATTATCATATTTAAAAGTTAATACTTCTAGTATTATAATCCTATTAATATAACATGTAAGTGATTTAAACTATACAATGCATTTTAGTTTAAAAATGCAACATTACAAATAATGATTTAATAATATAACCATACAATGTAAAATATAATATGAACATACAATGCATTATGCAACATTACAATATAACCATACAATGCATTTATTAAAATGCAACATTACAAATAATGATTATATAAACCATATATGAATTTATTAAAATGCAACATTACATATGATTTAATAATATAACTATACAATGCATTTTAAATCTATCATTATGACGATAACACATTTAATTAGATCTATCTAGATCTATTTTCAAAAGAGATAAATAAGACTATAAGCACCGAGATAATAATCTTTTTTACAACACGGTTAATATCTTCTTTATATTGAATATACTTCAATTAACTAAATACAAATTTTTTATCTCTTTACTTTCTTACCTTTCATCTTTAGTTTTTCTTTCCTACCATCTAACCCCTATAACCTCCTAGACTCCACTAATACTAGTCGAATTAATTATTAATTGGAAGTATATAAAATTCACTACTAGGAATATAACTCCTAATAATCTGAGCATGATCCGACGCCAACTACAAAAACGAGTGGTAGTCTGAAAATTAAAGCGAGTGGCCGTGGGCCCACTTTTTTTCTCCCATATAAAAATGCAAAGCCCTAATCCGAGTCACAGTGACTCCCCCCTCCCCCTGGGATAGAGACCACTGCTACACTGCATATCTAATGTTCCATTCAGCCTGACCTTCATCTTTAGAATATTCTGTCTTGCCATTTCTCCTAATATTTCGCTTTCCAGCCTCTACACTTTATTCACCAGTTGGTCAGGTTGTTGGACAACAGCGGTTCGATCTCTCCTCGTAGCCAGAACCTCTTCCCTATACAGCCACATCAATCCTAGCATCGTCCCATTCCCACCGGTAATCGTCAGACCCAGAGCTGAGAATATTATTTTGAGCCAACCAGCATGAATCAAGCCAGCGGCACGAAGATCAGCAAACAACAGTCCAATCCAAAACAAATTCGGAATAGCGAAGAATACTTGGTCCCATTTCAAGAACTCGGCAAAGCGCTGTTCAAAAGTATGGCCCTGCACACTACCAAGGATGGGTATGAAGATGCTTCCAAGCGAGCCCTCGCTGCGCCAGACTGTATACTGCCAGACTGCAGTCGAAACGGCACAAAGCCCGAGAATGGTCGTTCGGATAGTCGGTAGATCGCGTGTGACATTATTGAGTCGATCTTGCTTCAGCGTGCTCGGTTGGAGGAATTTTCGAGCAAGGCCCGCCTGTGCGAGACAGAGCCAGACAGGGAATAGCTCCCACAAGAAGCCAGCAGCCTGACGGTGGGAGGGCACAGGAGAAAAATAGGCGTCGATAAAAGTGGCATAGTGGGTAGCCAAAAGCACTGGCAGGATGGTTTTTGTATACGAAAGATTTGTTAGACGTCTGTCGGATGCGTCAAAGGTGGAAATAGGCGTGAGGATGTAGTAAGCAAAGTAGTAAATGGGAACGAAAATGGCGATTCCCCACATATTGAGCATCCCCCAGAGAAGGGCACTGGTGAAATGGTATGTTAGACGGTCTCATCCTCGGAAAGTAATTGTCATTCTACCTTAGACTTACACACTTAGGATGTTGAGTCGGTTAGCTCTCCTTGCAGACTCAATCAACATGATACCATACCAAATACCATAGTCGGCAAAAAAGGACAAAGGCTGATAAAAGAAGTGCGCTTCACTGACTATGAAGCGCAAGACTCCCGATCTCGAGAAATCATCGAGCAGACCAACGTGGTAGAACTTGTCTTGGATTTCCACTTCGTGGTAGCTACGACGAGCAAGGAAGTCGTAGGCATCTTCAAACGGCGCCACAGAGAACATAGCCAACAACCCAGCAGCTGCCATTACAAGCAGTGGCATGGCCCACAAGGCGCGTGGCCATACGCTTCCATGCATACCGATACCACGAGTGGGATTAAAAGGCATTAATCCCGTCATAGAGCGCGCTGGAACTGGCATGTATTCAATATGCTTCGCGCCAATGGCATCATCGCAAAATTGATCGGCGCGAATATCACCAGCGTAAGGTAAAAGGAAACGAACAGCAAGCCGATCCACAAGACTCTGTAAGGTCTGCATGCGAGCAACCGCCCCGGTAGACTTTATTTTCGCGGAGGTGCGACGGTGTCCTCTTTCTTCATCGTATTGACTCAGGGCTATTTCAATTTGAGATGTTGTGAGCGATGATTTGTTTCCCTGGGCCACCAACCGCCATGTTATGTTGGCCAACACTGCTGCATGCTCGAGAGCAAGCATGCCTCCGGTCCCAGTATGGGGTGTCATTTTGTGAACACTGTCGCCCAAACAAACAATGCGACCGGCTGTCCAATGCGCGAAATCCGCCTCCTCGAGAGGGACTAGTGTTGCCGTCTCGCGCCGCTCCCACAGATCAGATAAATTAATGTTGCTCGTACCGGGTCGGACAGGGAAATCAAAATATTGCTCTGCAAATCTTAACGCGTCCGCGCTATCGAATCGCGGAATCTCATGGCTTTGGTATACTTGTGGCATACGTTTGAACAGAAACCAAAAGATCTTGCCGTCTTTGCCACTAGCCACTACCATAGACACATCTCTTGCAAATGTGTCGTCGGTCATACCAGGGTCCAACCCCGGAATGGGGGTAGAGATACCAAACATGCACTGATATTCAGCCGTCATGGCTGTTATCCCTGTTAGAACATCCGTACGAATTGATGGTTGATAATCTCGACAATTCAGGGCCACTTACCACGACGTTCCTGCTGCACATCAAAATCACCACAGATTTTTCGCTCAACGGCCCTCCACATCTCCGAGCGCGTTTTGCTGTGAACTCCATCAGCTCCCACGACCAGATCGCCTTCATAGAAAGAGCCATCAGTGCAGATGACCTTGATAGGCTTCTCTTGATCACGGGAGTGTTCGATCCGATACATCCTCTTGCTTGTCAACACGCATTCCTTGCGACAGATGTGCTTGAACAGCGCTTGCAAGACACTTCGGCGCTCAACCCAACCCAACGGATATGACATGCGGGCAGTGACGAGCAATGCGGTGTCACTCCGCTCGGGTAGTAATGATTTTCCCTGTCCATCACACACCCCGCTGCTTTGCACTGGATGAACTAGCTGTTCCAGATCGTCATATACACCCAATTGGTCGAGAATTCGACACCCGCTTGGGGCAAGAGCAATACCAGCTCCGACTTGTGGTGCAATGGCGCCTCTAGCTTCCAGAATCACGTATTCGATCGGGACAGGGGCCTTTTCAAAGGCATTTGCCAAAGATAAACCAGCAATCCCACCTCCTACAATGATGACTTTGAGGGGGCGAATTCCATCAGCAAAAGGGGGTGGAGAGTGCGACATGGAGAATATGTGCGGAGGGCAAGGTATTGGGAAGGAGGGCCGAACTTGCTGTTCAAGGGTTGGAAGACTTTTACAGGGCAGGCTTGCCAGACCGATACTCTATCTAGGACTAGTATCAAGGTAAGAGCATAATAATTTTGAACTGTCACGAGATTCTCCTCCTCTCAATTCGGGAACCCGGTGATTACTACATGAAGGCCTATCGGGCACTCGGCAATTGACCCTAACGATTGCCTTCCGAATAACTTTGTGGAACGCATGATTTTGAATAGCTCTGAATTTTTAAGGATCTCAGAGCAATTTGTTCGAACCGCGAATGGGAAAATCCCATGAAAGGGCGACGCCCAGATAGATCATCGAGTCCCACGTTACAGTCATTAGCGAAATCTGCTTCCTCCCGAACCATTCCATTGTTTTTCCTTCCTCGGACCATACATGGTACAATTACAATGGCCCTCAACTTGGTATGGCCCGATCAATGAATGACCTGCGCTAAGACCTTGGCAGTGGGGCCCGAGAGAAGAAATACAGTCTTTAGGGAGTAAGCAGATTTCGCTAGTGACTGTACTGGTCAGAAGGCTAAACACTAACCTCAACGAACGGTACATGGGTTCGGCGGCTGTACGAGCACAATAACTCCAATCACTGTCCGGACTGTATTCTTAGGTGAGTTTCGGGAAGTACTGTAATACTTCAAGACTGTACGCTTGGGGGGGGGGTACCAGTAGAGATTTGCAAACAATGTCGGGACGGGCCGCGATGCGAAGCCCTGAACCGCCCGACCACGACAAACACCGAAGATTCACCACCACGATTGTCGAGACCGAAACGCACCACCAAACCACCAAATAATTATGCCCGGGAGCAAGAGATCGATAGCGAGCAGAGAAAAACGAGCTCCCAACCGAGGAAGAAACCCCAAACTGAACCAAGAGCCCAACGTGACACGGTAACTTCGGACGACTGCTCGACAGAGAACGAGGACCTGAGCGCCGCCAAACTTGTGAAAGAGCTCGTCAAACTCAGGAGAGAGATCAGACGGCGAGATGAATTGCACAAGGAAGAATTTAGTGCCGCCCTCGCCGAAGTTCGACATGAGCTATAGACCCTGACAGATAGACCCCTGACACCGCAAGCCCACTCCGACGTATGCCCTCAGAACAGACACTATGAGATCCTTCGACCGGAGGATCTGCTCCGGTGGGTTGAGGCATTCTGTTCGGAACGAACGGCGATCATCCAAATCAATGGGCAAGTGTCTGAAATCCAAAGCCTTCCACAGGCTGGGTTACCTCAGGGCTCTCCCCTATCTCCGATATTATTCCTCTTTTTCAACGCAGACCTCGTATAACGACAGATCAACAGCTAGGGAGGAGCGATCGCTTTCGTGGATGATTTTACCGCATGGGTGACCGGGCGAACTACACAGAGTAATAGGGAATAGACTTCCGCAAAGCCCAAAAGGTCCGGGCTCGAAACCCGACCCGCAACGAGCTGGGGGTCGAACTTCTTAGGCTCGCGACCCCCCCCCCTCTTTCGGCTTAGCCGCCGGGCGTTAACGAATTGTGTGTGTGTGTACTACTTCACCACTTTCACTTTATCCCCGAAGATTTTAATTATATCAACAGAATTTTACACATAGTTTGAATCTCCACGGCCGTTTCCATGATCCATCACCTACGAATATAAACTGCTCATCTCGCGGAAAGGGTAGCAACGGATGTGGCGAGTTCTCACTGGGAGGTACTGGTTTAATTGAATGAGAGGTGTCATTTGCTCGAAGAATCACACAGAGACGAAATACCAGAGAGAGTGAAGGGGTTTGTATTCTGTAAGAGACAAAATTCAAGAACTATCTTGAGGTCTGCGTGTAAACGAGCGGCGCTTGTATACGACCTGAGCAGCCAGGCGACCACACACACCCATCTCAACAAATTCCTGTTAAGATCTCATAAATCTATTGCTAGTCTCCTCGCTCACAATCCCCATAACAATGTAATCTACCAGCCGAACTCGACCAGCGTGTTCTCGTCGTCCACAAGCTTTCCAAATAGTTCTTTTGGCGAACCCTCTGTAGCAGCCCGCACAATAGGCCGAGCCCCCTCCTCTGCTGATTTGACGCCCTGGCCACCTCCGAAGTTGGTGCGACAGAAGCCTGGGGCAGCTAGAACAGCGAGAATGTTCTCCTTCTCGAGACTCACAGCATCAACAGCACTAATCATATTGATCGCAGACTTGCTGCTGCGGTAGACGGGCAGCTCCCACATCTTAGCATTGTACTCTGAAGTTGGCGAGTACGCGATGCCAATTTGACCAAGGCCGCTCGTCACGTTGACAATACGTCGGTCATGGTACTTCGAGGCGCGTAGGAGTGGTAGGAAAGTTGCTGTCATCACTGCCACGCCGAATACATTTGTTTCAAACACAGCTCGGTAGCTCTCGCGTAGAGTAGCGTTTGGGTCAGACGATCTGTTGATGCCGGCGTTGTTGATGAGAATATCCAGCGATCTGAAACGCTCTTTAATGAACTTGGCTGCGGCAGTGATGGATTCGTCTTGGTCAAGATCGATAACAATAGGCGTCAAAGAGCCATCAGTGCTAGAATCTTGCAGTTGCTTGACTGCGCCTTCGGCTTTTTCCTGGGAGCGGGCGGCAACAAGAAGATTAAATTGGCCAGTGCTAGCGAGGTGTTGTGCTGTCGCGAATCCCAGGCCCTGGTTTGCACCAGTGATCAGAATCAAGGGCTTAGTGACGGTGGCCATCGTGGGAATGTTTGTGTTTGAAGGGATGAAAAATGTTGTAATGAAACTGTCGATGTTGGTAGGAAGGCAATGGATGGCATCTCAATTAATACCTGATATCAGATATCACAAACAAAGAATTGGTCTTAACGGAGTTTAGGATGCATCCCACTTCGGACTTAATCGGATTTAGAATTTCCAAGTCACGATCTCTGCAAGTTAGTACCCGAAACCGTAGCAACCCCGATTACATACCCGAGTTGGGAGCTGGATTCCCGATTTCCCGAAACATTGCCTAGGTGGTTCGCTGTTGTGATTTTTCGATCCACCAATCTACCTTGTTGCGGCTAGGGTGAGGTCCATAAAGCCCGAAAGGGACAACATATCTCCACAATGAATAAATGCGGATTCCTTCCCTTCTAATTAAACTCCATAATTACTGATTTGCTAAACTCATAGATCATTGAATTGGCTTTTGTTTGAATCGAATCATGGCTGAAGTGAAAAGACCACCCACCAAGGCATGGGCAACTCTATCGCTATGGCTGCCCTCACGAGGGCCTGATATTGATTATTGGTGGAGACTGACAGGCCTGCATCTGTCTAACATGGTCGAGGCGGCTGGATACTCAATAGACCAGCAATATGTGGCACTTCTCTTCCATTATCATTGGATCGTACGCATCCCTGTTCCTTTTCTCCACTCTTCCCCTCCATGTTTCACTAGAAACGCAGCAACACTAACATAGTAACTAGCATAGGTTCCCTACATGGGCCCCGCACCTGGACCAGACGGCAATCTCAAATGGAAATCTTTGTTGGGAGTTGAGGGGTCTCCGATCGAATATTCTTGGAAATGGAATACTGCGGCAGGCAAGCCCGATGTGCGCTACACCACGGAGGCAATTGGCTCCTTCACAGGAACCCTTTTGGATCCTCTGAACCAGCAAGCCACACTTGAGATGTTGCACCGCGTAGGGGATTTTGTGCCAACTGTGGATCTTACCTGGACCAACCATTTCTTCGCCACCCTCTACGATCATGACCGCTCCAAATATGCCCAGGAAGCGGCGGCAGGTGCGCACTTCACCACTACGGTGGTAGTGGCCGCGGAGTGGCTCAAGAATGGCCTGAATCTCAAAACGTATTTTGTTCCCCGTCGTCTGGGTCAATCGGATGGGAAGTTGCCCATCGCTCTGTGGGAAGAATCACTCAAGCAGCTTGATCCGAACAGTGCATCTCGAGCCGCAATGCACGAATTCCTCAACAATGACCCGGAAGGAAAATTGCTGAGCCCCTTGTGAGCCTTTATCTTTGCATCTCAATAATAGATGCTCCATAATTTGGAATATCGCTGACGGAAATTCTAAGCATGCTGGCTGTTGATAATGTCGTCCCTGAAAAATCGAGGCTCAAGTTCTACTTCCAATCTCCACATACCAGCTTTGCCTCTGTGCGGCAGGTCATGACAATGGGAGGCCGCATCCCCGTCCCTGAAACGCAACTCCAGGAACTCCGCAGTCTCATCGCAGCTGTGACAGGCCTAGACTCGGACTTCCCCGAAAATTCTGAGGTCCCTTGCATATCAGAGTACAACCCGGCCGCCAAAGATAACTTCGCCGAGATTGATCTTTTGCTTTCCGGATATTTATACTATTTCGATATTGCTCCCGGGGCAACAGTGCCGGATATCAAATTTTATACTCCTGTTCGTCGCTATGGACCGGATGATGGTGCCCTTGCAAAGGGCATCGCTAACTGGATGACATCTCGCGGAAGGGGTGACTATAGCCAGAGATACCTGGACATGCTTGCAGATCTCACTCAGCATCGCAAATTAGAAGATGGAAAGGGTATGCAGACATACGTTAGTTGTCTGTTCAAGAAGGGCCACTTGGATGTTACGTCCTATATTGGACCGGAGGCATTTGATCCCGCCCGCTTTTTGAAGCCGGAAGTACACACTCCCACTCGGTCTACCCGAAGACGGAGCGATAGTCGGTGATTGGCAGAGTAGACGACGGGTCATTAGTTCTATGTTCATATGGTCATGATTGATTTCCTATCATTTCTCAACTACTCCTGAGTGCTGAAGGTTTTTCTTCGTCTTACTGTAGCACAATTATATAGGTCAGCTTCAATGACAACCATTTTCTTAACGTTCTTACTGTTCGATAAATCAGACACCTTCACTCCTACCGATACCAAAAGTTATGGCATCATAAAACATATAGCGGGCTTCCAGTCAGCCCTGGAGGGCATGGTTCCTCAGAGAGCTCGGTTCTATTAAGAGATCCAAAGACGACAAGAGACAAAAGGAACGAGAAAGGTCTCCATTCTCCTGACAACTCCTCAGTCAATAATCCTACAAGATGAGAAAAAGTCTCGGTTATTGGCGAAGATCCACAAATTCTCGGCAGACATTTTGCTGAGCGCCATAGAAAAGTATATTGAACACGTGCACTGGCAAACCTCACGACACATTATGGGTAACTTTGATGCACATATATCAATAATCATAAAGCCGAATATCCTACTGATTATGTGCTTCAGTGATGTATTATTCTCCCGCGGCCGTTTCGTCCAGATAGATGCCCCAAATGAAGTGTACAACAAACGCCTCCCCAATTTTCACGAGTACTTATTAAAGCTCACCCTAACTCTCTTATGACACGTTTTATATTCAGCAGGATGTATTCACACGCGCCAGCTCCGCCCGACTATTGCAAAGAGCAGGTCTTTCAACGCAATCGTCTCCCTGCACGATCCTAATGTGTGGTGCCGGTAGAGAAACGTGTGGTGTCTGTAGAGATTCTGTTGGATAAAAATGGGTCTTATATTACTAGATCACTCGACTTTTACAGCACCCACTTTCTGACTGATAGATGTAGATGCCTACTTGTTTGGGCATTCCGCTGCTTAAATAAGCCCACATTTGGTTAAATAGCCGTCTTACCAGCCCACCCCTACCCAGGGTGGGTCTGTCCCACTAAACAGAATTTACCACAAAACAGAAGAATTTAAAAATCACCATGTATTCAAAACCACCTACCTATATACTCCAGTAGTATCTATATACTAATTTGCACCCCCACTATCTCTTGCTGCTAATCTAGCTTCATGCTCATTTTTAGCGGCATCCCTAGCCAATTGAGCCCGTTGTTCTACTTCTAATTCCTTGGCATGTTTTGCCTGCTGACGCTGAAGCTTCTTATCTTCGGTGTCCTGCCTCCTTTTTATTAGACGATTGGCTATAGTAGGTGAGAGAGCTATTAGGCCTATATTAAGTATTGATCGTCTGTTTTTTAGAGTATTTGCCACTAATTTGTAGGACTAAGACTTCTTTAAAGATACCTTATAGATCTTAAGCCGCTAGCATAGAAGCAAATTTGTATCTATACTTCGACGAATATGCCTTTATATACGCTTAGATAGCTTAGTAAACTCTATAAGATCACCAAAAAGCTTATTATTAAGCCTTTTAACCTATATAATAGTATCTAGAGGATAATTCGTTACTAAGCTACCTAGCTTAGGGGGTAGTAATAGACCTGGCAGTGACCCTCCGGGTGGTCTATAATCTTAGACCCTCCACCTGACCCTCTGAGGG